TTCTCGTGCTTTACGGCACTAATTTCAAATTGGCGACTACGCTTCGAAACCTATTTTGACAAATTCTCGATTACAAATTTGAAACCTGAACAAAAGAACATTCTGGAATGGCTAACAGATGGTCTAAATTGTATGGATGCAGTCGTTAAACCTGTAACTATCGTTCGGAGTTAAAGTTTTCGAGGTTGCATGATTAGACTGTCACTTTTATAATCTGGTAAGCGATGATCTGATTGGTCGGATGAAAGGTCGTTCTGACTAGACCCCTAATGGGATGTCCTCAGATCTTTGTTCAGCGGTAGAGAGAACTAAGGTCTGATTTGAATGAGATTGAAGACTACCTTGGAAGGAAAGATTGACAACCGAAGGTGTTTTGTGGGAAATAATGTACACAGTGTGTATGACGCAGATGGGGGTGATAAGCAAGGTCCTACAGCGGAGTGCCTCCAAATTTGTCTACAGACCCTATCGTGGGCCAAGCTGTCCCTCCGCCGTGCTTGGCTGACAGGACCACAGGTACACCATGTTGGTATTAATCTCCGTTACAATATGAAATTATTATTATTATTTTTTATTTTATTTTTTTCAATCATTTTACATTTATTTGATAAAATGTGACATTCCAGTACATAGTTGATTAATCATCTAAATAGATGATGGCAAGTTGACCAAAATTTATAGAATAGGCCAATGTCACACTCAATAATCGCTGAACATTTAGTAAGGTTGTTGTAGTTTCTTATTTCGTTCTGAAAGACTTGAAATGACTTTTAAATATAAGATCTTTTGTTATCAAAAAGATGATATTTAGAGGGTCATTGCGCTTTTCTGGAAAACCAATCATCACATGTTTCTTTGTAATTTCGATTTGGATGTTAGCCTTTTGAAGTAGCCAAACTTCAAGTTGACGCCAGATTTGCTGAACCATATTACAGGACCAGAAAAGATGGATTGGGGTCTCGATATCAACTGAACAAAAACTGCAATTTCGACTTTCAACATAACCTAATTTACACAAGAGAACATTAGTCGGAAGTATATGATGAAGTATTTTGTATTGGAGCCATTGCAGTTTAGTGTCTCTCGTACATCGAAAAGGCATTCTATTGTATTGGGACCAGTTATCAATTGAATCATCCTTTAGAATATTCTTTTCCCATTTCGTACAGTGTACATTTTTTGTAGTGATATCTGAAATAAGTAAGTTGTAGAAGCATTTCGATCCATTTGCAAATTTAAGCACATTTTCGATACTTAGGGGTATAATTGGATTTTGCAACTTGTCCAATTCTTCTAGTTCAACATTACTTGCCTTGAAATAGTGTTTAATGGCCACGATAAGGCCGTTATATAGTTAGAAGTTCGTTTTTATCTCGAAAGATTTTGAAAAGTTGTCAAATATGAAAAATGAAGCATAAACGCTTGGTAAGATTGGTTGCGATCGTCATGTTATTTTCACATTACCTACAGTCACTGGTAAACACGTCACATTCAAGTCATCTTTCAGCTGATAATAGGATCCAACCAGAAGATGTTATTACCATAGAAGATGTGCCCTAATATTTACTTCCAACACTGATGCTATCAATTCAATCGGTTGAATATCAGACTGAACACACACCAATTAAATATTGGTACACAGACAATTAAGATCAATTAGCGAATTGGTGTTGATAATAATAATAAATTAGATATGTATGTAGCGCTCTTTCCAGACTCTTGCTCAAAAGCGCTTAAGATTAAAATACAAGGCCCAACGTAATTACTCTGATTCTCCACACTCAACATATACACAAAGAATAAAGTTAAGCACCCCCTGTATGTTTTACATGACTGGTCGTTCGAGCGTTGGCATTGAAAACCTGATAACATAACCTAGGAAAAACGAATGTGGTTTGCAAGAAGACACCTCTGAGAATAAGCAACATAAAGATTTCATCCTGTTTTAAGATCTTAAATAAATCATGATTTCTAACAAAAACTCAGAGGCACTGTCTTTGTGCAAAAAACAGTAGCCACAATAAATATGGAGGCGTAGGATAAGGAACACAATTCCACATCATGACTGATGACAAAAAAAATGTCATCTTCTGTCCAAAGGTGACATTCATGACACAAATCATCAATAGCGGGTAACCCGCCACGTGCCCGTATCATAGCTTCCAGTCTTCGTCTCATCGCTCCAGTAAGTCTGATCTACAAAATGGACAACTGCAGCCATTCCCGATGAAGAGCCATTGGGGCCTGATGCTGTTACGTTGGGTCCAGCGCATGAACTCTACGGCCCAAGATGTCCCAAATATGCTCCAGTGGCTTCAGGTCAGGACTTATGCCAGGCCACGGCAGTGTCGCCACGGCGTCATTCTGGAGAAAGGCTGCTACTGCTTGGGAACTATGTGGAATTGTCATCCATAAGCACATTTCCGGTGGCAAGAGGGTGGTTGTTTTACTGCGGTACGAATGGTTGTAGGATGTTACGATATACCGATCACAATGAAGTTTACTTGGGTGGTGACAATATCCAGCTTACAATCGTGTGACAGACAACCCCAAATCATTACCGAGCCTCTACCAAACGTGGTCATAGGTCTTATGTTTCTGGGTGTGTAGGCCATATGTTTGTGCCTCCAAACCCTGTATCGACCATCTGTGACATGGAGCGGGAACCTACTCTCATCGGACCAATGGACTCATCGCCAGGTCCTCGAATTCCAAGCTCTCCGATCAGCATACTAAACGAATCCTCCGATAAAAATCCACAAGGAAGGGACTTAATTCACATCGATTACAGTTGATTACTTACTGTTCAGGTTGACATACGTCTATTGGGTAACCATTGGCGCTTCAGAGCAGATGTTGCAAATGGTTGATGCACAAGCCGAAGCAGGGCCATGTTCTCACGCCTTGATGTCATGCGAGGTCTTCCTGAACGTGGGAGATCAGGTACATCATTGGTTTGCCCTCGTACCAGTCTGCTGATTTCGGCATAATTACACCCTAGTTGACATACTACGCTTTTGTAGGTCATGCCATTCGGATGCATACCAATAACATGCCATCTTTAATCTCTGATAACCTCCTGTGTCATGTTCACAGATAATGCTGCAACAATGCATGACCGTGAGGTTAAATACTCAATGGTGTACAGATACTGCATTTGAAAAATGCATGGGTGGCATCTTGCAAGTGCATGTCATGCTGCGACATAGTTGACGTTGTACAGTCCTATCATTTCGAGGGAACGGTCGCGTAGCCTAGTGGTTAAAGAGTTTGCTTGTCATGCCGAAGACCCGGGTTCGATTCCCGACATGGGTACAATGTGTGAAGCCCATTTCTGGTGTCCCCCGCCGTGATATTGCTGGAATATTGCTAAAAGCGGCGTAAAACCATACACACTCACTCACTGTCTGACCAGCAGCTGAAAACAGACTCGAGCCGAGGCTCTGTCATGTACCTGACTTTAATCTAATGCTTGTGATTTTGTATGAACTTTTTTGCCAATACTTAATATCGAATGCTATGTTGAATATGGCGATTTACGGTGCAAATGCATTAAGACACGTGTCCATTTGTTTGTTATGTGAATGTACAACTTGGAAACATGGAAACCATTATAGTTTTATAGCGAAGTGATCCTCGCGTTCAAGGTTAAAATGCCAGGCCACATCGTGCCCACCGATTACCACGACGAAAAGACATATGGGCATTGGACTGGCCCTTTACATCCCCAGACATTTCCCCAATAGAACATCTGTGGGATGATCTCAGAAGGAGAGTGTACGCGATAGACCCAGCACTCGCCAACGTGGCCCAGCTCTGTGTAGCTCTTCAGGCAGAATGGCAGGCAATACCATGGACAGCCATAGGCAAGTTAATCAACAGTAGGTGTCGTGCATGTATCACCCAACATGGTGGACACACCAGATATTGATCTACATGCTCGAAAATAATTTTACAGACTATTATCATCCTTACACTTTCACTATTATTTCATCAATTCACTCATTTTTTGGTCGGTAGTATATGTATCAATGTTATATAAAATCCTTGGTATGGGACAATGGCTATCTGGCAGATAAGTGTAAGTTTTCAGAATGGTTAAGGATAAAAAAGCCTGCACAAGACTGGAAAGTTCGAACTATTGTTATTCAGGCAATGAGAGGTTGAACCAAGGGTTAACTCTGCAAACAAAGGAGAAGAACTTTCGTTTAAAGACTTCAACCTGTTTTCATAAAGAGTCATTTCCACAGATAAACTGGTGACAAAGAAACAATCATTCAATTTGTGAAGCCTCATATATTCTTCCTGGTCAATCATGCATATTGTAGACTGGGAACCTCTTCCTTGAGATACCTCCTCCATGGCAAATCCAGAACAAAGCAAATCAAGACAATGAAGTCAGAGTACTTTCCACTTACACATCCTTCTGGTACTCAAAATGAAGAGTCCTGTTAAGTTTTACTTATATGTACTCACTAGTACGGAGTAACGATTACTTAGGAAGTCTTTCAGTTTGGTTGAGGTCCAAATTGTACTTTGATCAAATTGATAGTGAACTCTGTTCCGCACACAATCCCTGGATGGTCTGTATTTCTGGCAACATTATGCAAATGCAAGGATACAAACACAAACACACAGTCTTTTGTTGTTATTTTATGAAAATAAATAAATATAATGTACAAATTGGATTACAATTTCTCCTACTGTTCAGAACATTGTCAGAATAACATTGATGAAGACTTTGTTTCCTGAAATACAGACAACATGTACAGTACATGCTTACTTTACACCACATTTCATCAACGCACGTATGTACATCAGTGCTCAGATGGAGTCACTTCTACCATTGTGAGTGGGGCACGGGTGGCCCAGTCGTCTAAGGTGCCGCGATTCGCTGTGCAGAGTTGCGTCCCCTGGACACGCCAGAAACCTATGATTGTGGGTTCGAATCCCGGTTCGCCCCGATTATGTTTCTAGGTTTGTCAGCACCATACCCGTGCTCGTGGGTTTCACCGAAGTGGTAAACGTCTAAGACCTGCATCACTTCGGGCTTTCCTCCCACATTAAGCTGACACGCCGTGATATAACTGGAATAATGTTAAAAGCGGCGTTAAACCCAACTCACTCACTCACTCACTCATGTTGGTTTAAGGGAGAGCATCCTGTTTTTGTTCTGTACAGGCTTGGAGGTAAAATTTTCTTAATGTAGCTTAATACTGTCTATGAATGAGTGATGTTTTACTACATAGTACCAAGTAATAATATTGTGTGTGGTGGTAGGGTCATGCCATTCTTGGATTTGTATAACGTACGTTGAGAATTCAACCCTTGGTCCTCTTCATGCAAGGGAACATCTTAACAACCGGCTACTTCACGGGCTGTGAATCCTGTCCACTGTCAGCAGACAGTCAGAGAATTTAATCTGCTTCATGCACAATGGTTAGATTACCCTGTTTCCAAATATTGAATGAAAATTTGTTGGCTGAGATATCCAGTTAAATGCTCTCCACTCAGTCATAATTCAAATTTAGTGACAACAGCGCATCTATTATCTTGGCACCTCAGAAATCAATCTAACTTCCAGCAAACATTATTTCTACCATTCCCTGCACTGAAGTAAAACATGGGATAATGCTGCAAGTTTCAGGAATTCTTCAGAAACCAGTTGGGAGTGCATCTCATCCACTTGTGACATGACACACACAATCTGAGAGCATGTGACTATCTGCTTGTGTCCAAATGGTAGTGTCAGGTTATCTCCTTCAGTGTCAGGGACGAGGCTATCAGAACCTCACTGAATCCAGCCTCAGGACCGGAACTATTCCGCCACTACTGAGATGACAGACTTGAGATCGTCAGCGCAGCGCGTCTGTAAGTCCGACTTGGTGGCAAGATTCACAATGTTTTGGTGAGATTCCTTGAGTTGGCAGAGAATGTTGGCATTCTTCATCAGAACCTTTGCCTGTAAATAGAACTTGCTATATCATAGGCATACCTGGCTTGGAGTAGATAAACAAGTGGTTGATGGTATGAGTATCAATCAACAGGTACAATAATACACTAACCCAGCTCAGACCAAACCATCATCAATACTTCACAAACCTGCATACCCTACTTTCCTCGTCACTCATGAATACATAGTGAGTGAGTGAGTAAGGTTTTACGCGGCTTTTAGCAATATTCCAGCAATATCACGGAGGGGGACACCAGAAATGGGCTTCACACATTGTACCCATGTCGGGAATCGAACCCGGGTCTTCTGCGTGACGAGCGGACGCTTTAACCACTAGGCTACCTGACTACCCCATGAATACATAAAGCAGCTAGGGGTTGTAGTGCTGTTTGTTAACCAACAAACCATTAATTAGGAGTGATGTTTCAGCGTAGGTTCTAACACTGTTATCAAGCAAGTGATGTACAGAGTATGGTTGACAAGCATATATATATATACAGGATAGGAGGCAGTGTTTATAAAGTGGAATATATGCAGTAACTGCATCTTAAACCTACTCAACTGTATAAACACTACCTCCTATCCTGTATATATATATGCTTGTCAACCATACTCTGAACATCACTTGCTTGATAATGGTGTTAGAATCTACACCAAAACGTTCCTCCTAATTGTAATAAAGAAGTTGTTCATCCATATATGTTGTCCCTACTTAGAAATCCAACTTCTAAATGCCTCTCAAAGAAGTTACTGTGATGTATTGACAACGAGAGCAGACTTGGTCTTCCTTGCGGTTTATATCTGCCAAAAAAAATACAATCCACGCAACAGCTATTTTGACCATCCGATACCGTTTTACAATACCCACCGGAAACAATTGACTTCATTATTCAAAAGCAAACTATCATAACTACTGCCAAAACATCTAGGTACCCAAAAAACTTCTAATGTTTGACAAATTTCAAATTCTTGCAAAAGTTTCCTGCTTGATAAATAGGCCAAGAGACATTGGAACTTATGATGACCAACATATGATGGCATATAGTTTACTCAAGAACACATCAGTTATAACCTTTGGAGGTTAAGAATCAGAGTGACAGCATATTGTCTTACCACACATCAATGACTTCTCAACTTTCGCTAATTTTGGGAACTGGTGAGAAATAGCATTCAAAACAGTCTTTCTGATAAATATGAATGTGACCAGCATCAGAAATACGAGGTACTTGGTGTGAGTATTTCCTGTTTGGTGTCAAATTGGTGTGATGGATGGTTGTTTAACTGATGCCTGGGAACAAGTGCATGCTGAGGTTGATCTGTGAACTATATTCAGACTGATCAACTGGATCTATTACCTTTTGATTGTTGAATATGAGTGCCCAGAGTGCTGATGCTGCCACGGCCTGCATCTTCTCTGTCCCCTCCTCCACACACTGCAACATGGCCGGCAGCAGCTTACCTGCAACATCACACACGTCATACCATCATGTTGAGCATTGCAAATATACCCATCCAAGCACAGACAGAGTAACGTAAACAAGATGACACTGACATGATATGATATGATTTGTATTAAACTATAACATTGTGTTATAATAGTTGATTATAGGAGTTCATGTGTTGCTTAGACATGGCCCGTGAAGATCCGGGGTAGAATAGGTCTTCAGCAACCCATGCTTGCCGTAAAAGGCGACTATGCTTGTCGTAAGAGGCGACTAATGGGATCGGGAGGTCAGACTCGCTGACTTGGTTTTTGCAAGTCATCATATCCCAATTGTGCAGATCGATGTTCATGATGTCAATCACTGGATTGTCTAATCAAGACTTTATTATTTACAAACCGCCTTCATAAAGCTTGATTAAGTTGAATATTGCTGAGTGCTGTGTTAAACAACAAACAAACAAACATACATAATATCAAGGCATGTAAACTAGAAGTTGAAACCCATGAGCAGGGGTATGGTGCTGACAACCCTTCAAAAAACATAGTCATGGAGAAGCTGGGATCCGAACCCACGGTCATAGTATTCTGGCACGCCTAAGGGCCGCAACTCTGCACAGTTAATTGAGGCACCTGAGACCACTGGGTCACCTATGCCCCCTTGAAATTGGGAGCAGACACTCAATATTAGGATATTGCATATTTCTCAAGTTTGACTGCCTCATCATTGTTTGTCCTCGGCTTGTGTTGAGACGAGTTAGCAGAAGGATGAAGAAAGGTCTAACACTGAGTTTCTGTACTGGATGTACATAGTTCATCATGTCATCAGTTTGCCTGAAGGGTTTACCTGTACATCTACCATACACATCTACATCTGCCATACACGGCATCTTCTAGTCAAGATGGTGAGTAGTTGTATACAAACCATTAGCAAGAAGCTTCTGCTTGTTACTGGCGTGGCAGCACAGGTTGCGGAGTATGAGGAGGGAGCTCTCCTGACATCGGGGCGACCCCAGCTCCAAGTAGTCCAGCAGCAGCTGCACTCCTCCTACATCAACAACAACTTCACCATCACCACAGGCAACATCATCAACATCACTATAGGTGACATCCTCATCAACATCACTACAGACAACATCATCAACACCTTTAACATTACTACAGGCAACATGATGAACTCCTTCAACATCACTACAGGCAACATCATCATGTACATCCTACAGGTGTGAGGACTTACCTGAGATGTTGAGGATGATCTGGTGACCCTCCACTGAGAAGGAGAGGTTGGTGAGGACCTCCATCCACTGCACATCTCGCGGAGACTTCCACTTGCTCTTGCTGGCCTTGTGAGGATTCAACTTGGAGAACTCAGAGAAGAAGTTACTCTAAAAGACAAGTGCATTGTCTCATCAACAAACAATGTTGTTTGATATTTTCAAACTGATTGTATAGGTACAAAGTACTTAGGTTTTGTTGTTGTTGTTGTTGTTGTTGTGTAATGTCTCACTCAGAAATAGTCCTGCTTTATGATGGTGGTCCGTAAATAATCGAAGTTCTGGACCAGACAATCAAATGATTGCCATCATGAAACATAGATATATGCATTTTGGATATGTTAAAATTCATCAAACAAGTCAGCGAGCGTGACCAGACGATCTTGTTTTCAACCCTGCAATCACCGAAGGACTTTGATAGTTTGTTTGTTGTTTAATGCAGCACTCAGCATATATGACAGCAACCTGTAAGTAATTGACTCTGGACCAGACAAACCAATGATTGATATTATGAATAACGTCCCCCACTCTCAGAGTAAACCATGGGCTGCTGGGGACCAATTCTGTGGACAATTTTTTAAATTAAATCTCTCCGCTGTTGGGATTAGCTGCGTGACCTACTGCTTTACATGCATCAGATGGAGAGTTATATGCAGTTACCTTCCACATGATGTTACGGCACTCGGAGGAGAGGGTGAGTGTGGCGAGGATGCTGAACACCAGCTTGGAGGCGTCCTTGTTGGTGCTGTGTCCTGCCAGCTTCACCAGGCAGTGCACCAAGGAGCTGCTGCTGAGGCAGGGCTTGCCGTCCACGGTGGTGTTGGGCACGCCGGAGGAGCTGGTGTATGCCAACGAGGAGGTAGCTGCAACAAGCATCATAAATACCACTGGCTTAATGTTGCAGTTCTTCCATATGAAAGCAAGAAGAACACCAGGTGTCAAGTTTGATGTTCTTGAAAGAAAAATAACAGCAACATCACATTTAGGACATTGCACTTTAAAGACAGGGAATAGAATCAGCAGGGTGATTGAACATCAACCCAAGGCTGCCCTACCAGATTTCAGCTGTAAAGGTTTCACATCTACATAATATGCATACACACACCTATGAGTTAATGATATGTGATGATACTGATCTATGAGTAAAGGACATACCTAAATGTGACAATTTGTATGACTGTTTCAGCTGATGAATAAGAGATTTTGTCAGCAAGAAATTAAACCAAGTGAATGTTGTTAATGCCACAGCAACACGACATTTACTGCCCCCGATCCCTACATTGTTCCCAGGACAAGAGATTGACCTCTTCACCGGACTCCCAACAATCCCAAGACAAGGTAGTGACCTACACTGCCATGGATCCAACAGTATCTTCCAGACAAGAGCATGACCTACACTGCCCTTGGTCATACAGTGTCCACAAGACAAGAGAGTGACCTAGACTGCCCTGGGTCCTACAGTATCAAAAAAGACAAGAGAGTGACCTACACAGCCCTGGGTCCTACAGTGTCCCCAGGACAAGAGAGTGACTTACACTGCCCTGGGTCCTACAGTGTCCCCAGGACAAGAGAGTGACTTACACTGCCCTGGGTCCTACAGTGTCCCCAGGACAAGAGAGTTAGCAACACTGCCCTGGGTCCTACAGTATCAAAAAAGACAAGAGAGTTACCTACACATCCCTAGTTCCTACAGTGTCCCCAGAACAAGAGAGTGACTTACAATGCCCTGGGTCTTACAGTGTCCCCAGGACAAGAGAGTGACTTACAATGCCCTGGATCCAACAGTATCCCCAAGACAAGAGAGTGACTTACACTGGCTTAGATCCTAGAGTATCCCCAAGACAAGAGAGTGATGTAATATGCCCTGGGTCCTACAGTGTCCCCAGGACAAGAGAGTGACTTACACTGCCCTGGATCTTACGGTATCCCCAAGACAAGAGAGTGACTTACACTGGCTTAGATTCTAGGGTATCCTCAAGACAACAGATAGATCAACACTGCCCTGGATCTGACAGTATCCCCAAGAGAAGAGAGTGACCTACACTGCCCTGGATCCTACAGTGTCCTCAGGACAAGAGAGTGACCTAAACTGCACTGGATCTTCCAGTGTCCTCAGGACAAGAGAGTGACTTACACTGCCCTGGATCTTACGGTATCCCCAAGACAAGAGAGTGACTTACACTGGCTTAGATTCTAGGGTATCATCAAGACAACAGATAGATCAACACTGCCCTGGATCTTCCAGTGTCCTCAGGACAAGACAGTGACCTAAACTGGCTTAGATCCTAGAGTATCCTCAAGACAACAGAGCGATCTACACTGCCCTGGGTGCTTCAGTGTCCCCAAGATAACAGAGTGAACTATACTGGCCTGGATCCTACAGTATCCCCAAGACAAGAGCTTGACTTACCCTGTACTGGATTCTCCAGTAACCCCAAGAAAAGAGAGTGACCTACCAGGTGGACAGTGAGCTGTGAAGGTGAGCAGCAGGGCCAGGATGGATGACATCAGGGCGGCATCCACTTGTGCCCACGCCCACAGTCGGTGTAACAGGCCACTCAGACCCGAATGGTGGCACGCAAGCTGCAGCAGGGAACATAACGTTACCACTCATCAGTGTTGGGCCAATCATCAAACAAAAAGAATCTTTTCCATAACACTTGTTATATTGTCAGTCAAGACACACAAATGACTACAAATCTTAAAACCTTAAAAGCATCAAAATATGTTCTGGTGTAACATATCAAAATTGATTTCATACAAAATTAACAATCGAAAACATGCTATTATGAACGAAATTGAAACCATGTTATTATGAACAATAAGAATCTTTACGTGAAAAGTAGAGTTACGCTTTCGGATCAACCAACGAGACTCAGCTGCTGGCATAGACAGACTGTGGCCACAGCTTCAACCACTCCACCTACAAGTACAACAGCATGGTGCCCCATGTCAGAGCACTGATTACCTTGACCTTGTTGCAGCTGGCCATGAAGTTCCTCAGCAGGGAGAAGAGGAGCAGGAGCTCCTGTATGAGGGGCTCTTCCTTCCTCCGCCCCCCGGACTTGGTGAGCTGCAGGGCCTCCAGACTGAGCTGGGCATGGAGCTGCTTCCCATGCTGCAGGAGCGACTCCGCCAGGCCCACTGGAAACAAGGTACACTTTGCTCAACAATCAAATAACACATCTTTTTAGCATTAGCTCATTTATTTGTTGTTTAACGCCGCACACAGCAATATTTGAGCTATATGATGGCGGTCTGTAAATAATCAAGTCTGGACCAGACAATGAGTGTCATGAGCATTGATTCACACAATTTGCTCAATTGACCCAAGTTTTTATGGATATACCTTTACAACAAAAGATTTCACTACTTTGCAATTCCTTCTCTGTAAAGCAGTGATGTAATAAACTAGAAGTTGTTGATCATACAGTTGTACGTTTTCTTACCTACTGTCTAGTACTGTCTTTCTGACACTCACTCTGTCTGTTTGGAGCTCATTGTTTGTTTGGAACTCACTGTCTATTGCTGTCTACTTAGAACTCACTGTCCAGTGCTGTCTGTTTGGAACTCCCTGTCTAGTGCTGTCTGTCTGACACTTACTGTCCAGTGCTGTCTGCTTGGAACTTACACTCTAGTGCTGTCTGTCTGACACTTACTGTCCAGTGCTGTCTGTTTGGAACTCCCTGTCTAGTGCTGTCTGTCTGACACTTACTGTCCAGTGCTGTCTGTCTGACACTTACTGTCTAGTGCTGTCTGTCTGACACTTACTGTCCAGTGCTGTCTGTTTGGAACTCCCTGTCTAGTGCTGTCTGTCTGACACTTACTGTCCAGTGCTGTCTGTTTGGAACTCCCTGTCTAGTGCTGTTTGTCTGACACTTACTGTCCAGTGCTGTCTGTTTGGAACTCCCTGTCTAGTGCTGTCTGTCTGACACTTACTGTCCAATGCTGTCTGTTTCGCCGACTGTGAGATGACAAGGAGAGACTTGAGTGTGTTGATGACAGCTATCCGGTCAGCGCTGTGTGGTCGGTCAGTGTGCTTCAAGGTGACCAGGTCATAGGTACTAATCAACGCTTTGCACAGGCTGGATCCTGATGTTCGGGGTCCCTGGCTGGGATCATCAGATGCTGGAGGCAGAAGGGTGAAACATGGAGCCTTTGTTTGTTTCTTGTTTTATTCATTAATAAAGCTGTCAGCAACATTCCGGCTATGCTCAGCGTCATTATTGAAGGATCTCCTAGGCATGCACTAGCAAGGACATGCACATGACAAGGAACAGTCAATGTGGGTATGCAATGGTTCATTCCAGAAATGTGGGTATGCAATGGTTCATTCCAGAAATGTGGGTATGCAATGGTTCATTCCAGAAATGTGGGTCTGCAATGGTTCATTCCAGATGCAACTGAACGTTAACAATGCGACATTTTTTGCATAGTTTTAGCGCTTAATTATCTGCACAAGCCCTCAATAATGACGCTGAGTGTATATCATGGCATCCTGTGAATAATCCTGTCTGGGGCATGCAAGCAAGTGAGTGAAATAATGAGCAATGTCCTACTCAGTCAAGGTGAGATGAGACAACCAACCAAGTCACCGAGCCTACAAACCACCTGATCATTTGTACTCAGCTTTCACAACAAGCAATAGAGTGCTGGGGACCTTCTTTGCTAAACTTCTAAAGCAAGTCATCTCTGAAACCATTTACATCATTACACACCAATTCTTTTTATTAAACTACACATTTATATACCGCGGGTATCCAGGTACTAGTGAGTGAGTGAGTGAGTTGGGTTTCACACCGCTTTTAACTGTATTCCAGTTATATCACGGCGTGTCAGCATAATGTGGGAGGAAAGCCCGAAGTGATGCATGTCTCAGATGTTTACCACTTCGGTGAAACCCCCGAGCACGGGTATGGTGCTGACAAACCTAGAAACATAATTGGGGTGAACCGGGATTCGAACCAACAATCATAGGTTTCTGGCATGCCCAGGGGACGCAACTCTGCACAGCGAATCGCGGTGCCTCAGATGACTAGGCCACCTGTGCCCCCTATCCAGGTACTAGTACCTGCTCAAAGGCGGTTTTATTTTTGTTATGAAACTACACATTAATATACTGCAGGTATCCAGGTACTAGTATCTGCTCAAAGGCGGTTATATTTGTTCCCCGACCAATGGATTCGTTTGCATTCCAGTTATCATTCTCAACTCCCTGGGGAGTATACAGCCCAAGCTGCCCAGAGGTGCTAGAAGGTTTTTACATCCACATCAGGGTGACTCCACACACTTGTGTTTCGGGTGTATGTACATATTCGTGTTTCCACCATCTGGTCATCTACCATCGGACAAGTGGGTTCTTTTGAGTGCACAGGGTGGATGTACTGTACACTAGGGGTATTGACAACGCTGTAAAGACCTGTAAACATTGCTGAATAACAATTCGGTCACTAGCGGGATACGATACAGCACCTGGCACTTGCTAACATGGCGCTTTTGATGCTTGCCCACTCCGTCCCCATTTTGAAAGCAATAATCCTATGTTCCTGGTAAGCCTCAGCGACAACTTTACACAGTGAATTGCAGCACTCATGCTCTGTATGGTATGGCTTGGTGGACTCACGTCGGCCTATCTGCATGTCCAGAAGCTCAGACAGCGTGTGTGACCTGGAGCCTCTCTCCGGGTGTTTCGCTGCTATCCTGCCTTCCTCACAACATATTCCAGACAGGAAGGCCATGCAGGACAGTGAGACGGCCTGTGTCTCCTCACAAAGCATCTCCAGGAGCCGTCCAAACATGTCTGTAAATAATATTGTTGTTGATGAAGAACAGTAAGATTTGAATAATTTTATAATTTCAAATTTTTCTGATACAAGGTATGTGTTTAAGAGACAACTATCAGAGATATGTTCCAGAGCATTTTTCCTGTACTGCATTCTTTAGACATATCTGCAATATGTGTCAAGACATTGGAGAGGATGTGATCGACCAGCTTGAGAGGTGTGTCCAGTCTTTGGAGGGGGTGTGTATAAGGTCAATGGCCTACTGGAGAATTGTGTCCATTCTTTGGAGAGGGTGTGTATGAGGTCATAGACCTAACCGAGAGGTGTTTCCAGGCTTTGGAAATAGCGAATGTGAGGTAAGTGACCTACCTGAGAGGTGTGTCCAGGCTCTGGAAATCGCGTGTGTGAGGTTAGTGACCTAACTGGGAGGTGTGTTCAGGCTTTGGAAATTGCGTGTGTGAGGTTAGTGACCTACCTGAGAGGTGTGTCCAGACTTTGGAAAGGGCGTGTGTGAGGTTAGTGACCTACCTGAGAGGTATGTCCACGCTTTGGAAAGGGCGTGTGTGAGGTTAGTGATCTACCTGAGAGGTGTGTTCAGGCTTTGGAAATGGCGTGTGTGAGGTTAGTGACCTACCTGAGAGGTGTGTCCAGGCTTTGGAAAGGGCGTGTGTGAGGTTAGTGACCTACCTGAGAGGTGTGTCCAGGCTTTGGAAAGGGCGTGTGTGAGGTTAGTGACCTACCTGAGAGGTGTGTCCAGGCTTTGGAAAGGGCGTGTGAGGTTAGCGACCTACCTGAGAGGTGTGTTCAGGCTTTGAAAAGGGCGTGTGTGAGGTTAGTGACTTACCTGAGAGGTGTGTCCACGCTTTGGAAAGGGCGTGTGTGAGGTTAGTGACCTACCTGAGAGGTGTGTCCAGGCTTTGGAAAGGGCATGTGTGAGGTTAGTGACCTACCTGAGAGGTGTGTCCAGGCTTTGGAAAGGGCGTGTGTGATGACATCAAGAGCTGTGGAGGACTGCAGCTGTATCAGGGAGGACAGGAGGTTGAACACAGACATCCACAGTCCACGACAGTCAGTAGCCAAGTCACCACTAGCTGTAGTGCAAAGACAGACATTTACATGCGAAAATTGATGTCAGTGGAACTATTTAGGGATAATTAACTTTGTGTAAGCACCATGTCATATCACTGTCAGCTGAATATTGAATTTCAACATAATTCATTCAGTCTCAAATAGCCATTCCTTTGAACTTAATCAATTGAATTAATCTAAAGTCCTTTAAACCCCAAATATACTAGAATACATAGGTATGCAGTCCTTAGAATTAAACGGTGAAGAAAAATAAGAGTGAATCATTATTCATACAAGAGTGTTTGTTGTTGTTTAACGCGGCACTCAGCAACAGGCTATGACAGCAGCCTGTATTTATTAGAGGGTGAACCAGTGATCAATATTGTGAGCAGCAATGCACGCCGCCAGGGCATGAGGACACTCTATCATCCAAGTCACAAGCCTGACCACTGGATCAATTTGGTTGCCTCTTACCACCAGCATAGGGGTCTTTCTAACCCTGAATCCTCATGGGGGGTCACGCAAGGGTAAAAAATAATTGAAGTCTCATACAGTTGAGATATACAAGGAAACAATCAACTTTGTTGACAAACTTGTGTTTAACAATAAATAGCTGACACAAAAATGAATTATCAATAGGATACCGTATTTATAATATTTCGCACCCAGGGCATCTGCACTTAATTGCCAACCTTATGGCACTAGAATCTCCATGGCACTAGATTCACTTCATTAATCGTGTGACACATATAATCCACATAGATATATCAACCTCATTACATTACACTCTGTAGCCTCTTCACTAGCCTTCATAAAATCTAGACATTAGAGTGAGTGAGTTGGTTTTAACACCGCTTTGAACAGTATTAAAGTTATATTATGGCGGTCAGTTTAATGTGGAGGAAAGCGCGAAGTGATGTAGGCCTCAGGCATTTACCACTTTGGTGAAACTCACAAACATAGAAACAGTCGGATCCAACTGAAATTCGTACCCACGATCATAGATTTATGGAATGCACAAGGGAAGCAACTCCGCACAGCGAATAGCGGAGCCTTAGACGACTCGGCCATATGTGCCCTCTAGACATTAGAACATTTGTAACAATTACATCAGAGTCGAGGGCACTTACCATCACACTGAATAAGAAGCAGAGACACGATGGAGTCGAGGGCGCTGGTGTTGGCTAGAATCTCCACCCTGATGGGGGAGTCGTATAACGCACAGGCTCTGAGCAGCGTCACGATGCTGTCATACAGCTGTATCAGATCCCGGAACGCAAGCTCGGCCTGGGCAGGGTTCGAGCCAGTTGACATTTCCTGACAACACTCCTGGATTTGTCTTGAATCAATCATGCTGAAAAAATGACATAATCTGTAAGTAAAGGGTAGGGTGTGGCTTGACAAAGAACAGTTGAACAAAGTTTGAAACACAATCGTTCACCACCTAGTCAAAACAAACACCAAACATTCACTCCCTGGTCAAAACACACACCAAACATTCACTCCCTGGTCAAAACAAACACCAAACATTCACTCCCTGGTCAAAACAAACACCAAACATTCACTCCCTGGTCAAAACAAACACCAAACATTCACTCCCTGGTCAAAACAAACACCAAACATTCACTCCCTGGTCAAAACAAACACCAAACATTCACTCCCTGGTCAAAACAAACACCAAACATTCACTCCCTGGTCAAAACAAACACCAAACATTCACTCCCTGGTCAAAACAAACATCAAACATTCACCTCCTAGTCAAAACAATCACCAAACATTTACTCTGTAGTCACAACAAACACCAAACATTTACTCCCTAGCCAAAACAGACACCAAACATTCATCTCTTAGTAAAAATACACACCAAACATTCACCCGCTGGTCAAAACAAACACCAAACATTCACTCCCTGGTCAAAACAAACATCAAACATTCACCTCCTAGCCAAAACAGACACCAAACATTCATCTCTTAGTAAAAAAACACACCAAACATTCACCCGCTGGTCAAAACAAACACCAAACATTCACTCCCATTCTAACATCGCCACTATGCCTGTAATGGGACCAAACACTGTACGAGACTGAAACCGTCTGATTCCCATGTCAAGCTTCTAACACTGCACCCGCATACAGAAGCAGTAAGACTTCCATCGGATTACCTTGTCAAGCTTCTAACAGTGCACCCTTATACAGAAGCAGTAAGACTTCCCTCGGATTACCTTGTCAAGCTTCTAACAGTGCACCCTTATACAGAAGCAGTAAGACTTCCCTCGGATTACCTTGTCAAGCTTCTAACAGTGCACCCTTATACAGAAGCAGTAAGACTTCCCTCGGATTACCTTGTCAAGCTTCTAACACTGCACCCTTATACAGAAGCAGTAAGACTTCCCTCGGATTACCTTGTCAAGCTTCTAACACTGCACCCTTATACAGAAGCAGTAAGACTTCCCTTGGATTACCTTGTCAAGCTTCTAACACTGCACCCTTATACAGAAGCAGTAAGACTTCCCTCCGATTACCTTGTCAAGCTTCTAGCACTGCAACCGCATACAGAAGCAGTAAGACTTCCCTCGGATTACCTTGTCAAGCTTCTAACACTGCACCCTTATACAGAAGCAGTAAGACTTCCCTCGGATTACCTTGTCAAGCTTCTAACACTGCACCCTTATACAGAAGCAGTAAGTCTTCCCTCGGATTACCTTGTCAAGCTTCTAACACTGCACCCTACAAAAGCAGTAAGACTTCCCTCGGATTACCTTGTCAAGCTTCTAACAGTGCAGCCTACAAAAGCAGTAAGACTTCCCTCGGATTACCTTGTCAAGCTTCTAACACTGCACCCTTATACAGAAGCAGTAAGACTTCCCTCGGATTACCTTGTCAAGCTTCTAACACTGCACCCTTATACAGAAGCAGTAAGACTTCCCTCGGATTACCTTGTCAAGCTTCTAACACTGCACCCTTATACAGAAGCAGTAAGACTTCCCTCGGATTACCTTGTCAAGCTTCTAACACTGCAGCCTACAGAAGCAGTAAGACTTCCCTCGGATTACCTTGTCAAGCTTCTAACACTGCAGCCTACAGAAGCAGTAAGACTTCCCTCGGATTACCTTGTCAAGCTTCTAACACTGCAGCCTACAGAAGCAGTAAGACTTCCCTCGGATTACCTTGTCAAGCTTCTAACACTGCAGCCTACAGAAGCAGTAAGACTACCCTCGGATTACCTTGTCAAGCTTCTAACACTGCAGCCTACAGAAGCAGTAAGACTTCCCTTGGATTACCTTGTCAAGCTTCTAACAGTGCACCCTTATACAGAAGCAGTAAGACTTCCCTCGGATTACCTTGTCAAGCTTCTAACAGTGCACCCTTATACAGAAGCAGTAAGACTTCCCTCGGATTACCTTGTCAAGCTTCTAACCCTGCACCCTTATACAGAAGCAGTAAGACTTCCCTCGGATTACCTTGTCAAGCTTCTAACAGTGCACCCTTATACAGAAGCAGTAAGACTTCCCTCGGATTACCTTGTCAAGCTTCTAACAGTGCACCCTTATACAGAAGCAGTAAGACTTCCCTCGGATTACCTTGTCAAGCTTCTAACAGTGCACCCTTATACAGAAGCAGTAAGACTTCCCTCGGATTACCTTGTCAAGCTTCTAACAGTGCACCCTTATACAGAAGCAGTAAGACTTCCCTCGGATTACCTTGTCAAGCTTCTAACAGTGCACCCTTATACAGAAGCAGTAAGACTTCCCTTGGATTACCTTGTCAAGATGGAGATGTAGCCGTCCTTCTTCAGGGCCATGAAGGTATCCTGTGGCGCCAGGAGCACGAGGTTCTTGATGAGACGGCAGACTGCCGACACCAGACATGGAGTGACGACGCTGTGGTACTCCAGGGTGTCGCTGGTGTAGGTGGAGGAGGTTATGTCACCGCCGCCATCTTCACAAACACATTCAAAAGTGAATATCATTAATGTCCTTCAACCTATTCTCATTAACCAGGAATTTTGTCAAGCTATCAAATTCTGACATAGTATGTTAAGTGTTGTAGTGTTGTAGTCAGTGATCTAACCTACTCAGCCACCAAGGCTTCCACAAAATATTAAAGTCCGACATCTGGTAGTCTCGATCACGTATTTTGTGTACCCCTCTGACAAGTGTAACTTTTGCACGGCTCCCATTACACTTGTTGGAGAGGTACCTGAGTGGGTTAGATTGCTGACTCTGTGTGCTGGCGATTAGGCGACTCACTCTGGAAGTGTGGGTTTGAACCCCGGATGGGATAGAACCTGTACTTTGCTAAGAAAGTGTTATCCCAAATATAATTGTAGAATTTTCCTATTCGGAATATTCTATAAATAATACGTTACCACTGTTATACCGAGGCTGTTGTCTCCCACAACTGCTGCTATAGCGAAATCTACCACAGAGATCTCAATTACCTCATGCAGCACGTGCGTAGCCACCTAGCTGCCATGTGACACCCTTCACTCTTGTCTCCTGCGAGAGCAAGTGCTCGGGGGACGGACGGGCGGGCAGCAGCCCAGTGGTAACGTATTACTTATAGAATATTCCGAATAGGAAAATTCTACAAATTACATTAAGTAATACGTTACCACTGTTATACCGAGGCTGACTACCACAGTAGGCGGTGGGGAGCACCTACAACCCGAATCCTGACTGCTAGCGTTCCTTCCGACCAGCGGAAGTAAACACCAAGGCGGAAGCACTCGATGCGCATGCACCTAGCTAGGCGTTACCCTATAGGAATACCAAAGCACTGTCAAGCGCATACCGTAAGGCTCAATCGTCATTGCCAAAACGATTGGTGACTCCAAACGGCCCCACTGGATAGGTATTTCATCGCCGCAGCGGATGAGAACACTGTATCCGCGTGAGCTTAATCTTAGATCAGGTTAAACAGTCGAAAAGAGGGAAATTAATTTCATTCAGACCGTATATCCCAGAGCAAGCCTACTTAAAGTATGCATTAGGCGCGTGACCTAATTCCAGTATTTGTAAGCATGCATCACAAGGTTGGGATACACGACAGACAATTAAAGACATAATTGTCAAAATACAAATAAGGACAAAGCACACAAAAAGCCGCCCTCACCTGTGGTGTGAGTGCGCTGGTTTGCGGGACCCCAACTCCTGTACCCACGGCAGTGGGAACATTGGAGTAGACCCAGATTGACCACCGTGCAAGGTCAGACGCCTGAGGAGTTCGGAATTGCGCTGGGCACACCCCTTAGGTGCCCGCTTGCGCCGCGATCCGCGGGCCAAGACGGTGCACACTCTCCACGACGGCATCAGCGACCTGTTTGAGGTAATGATTGGCAAAAACCGAGTCAGAACGCCAGTAACAACCTCGTAATATTCTGCGAACAGAGATATTCGAGTGTAGGGCAAATGTTGCCGCTAGCGCCCTGATCTCGTGCAGGTTTGACCCCGCTACCGGTAACCCCCGAGACCGGTACGCCAGATTGATGACAGAACGAAGCCACAACGCAATCGAGTTGCGAGGTATGTCAACCGTGCGATTAGGGTTACACGATATGAACAGACGGTCACGCCCTTGTCTACGTTCATTCGAAGCCTTAAGATAATACTTAAAGGCCCTAACCGGACACAGCGCTCTGTCCTCAGTATCAGCAGGATGTAAGATTTCTTTGAGTGATCTTACAGTGAATTCTCTCTCCGTTTGCCCGACTCTCTGATTCTTGGCGACGAAGCCCATGAGCAGGCCCAGGCGGACCGCTCCTTCGTCACCCCTATCGAATCGTACCTTGGCGACATCGAGTGCATGAATTTCGGATACACGTGCCGCCGTGGCAAAGGAGAGGAGAAATGCTGTTTTCCAAGTCACATGCCGGAACGAAGCACTATGCAAGGGTTCATACGGAGCTTCCGTAAGTGATTGCAACACTAGCCAAAGATCCCAGGCCGGTGCCCGAAGGCGGCCCTTCTTAAGATCGTGCTGTTTGAAACCCTTGATAATACCCCGTATCACCGGCTCTTTGGAGAGACTGGTACCCATAGCAACGTCCCGTACCGTAGCAACGGACGAGACATAGTTGGCAATGGAACCCCCGGAGAGTTTCCGGGTCTCTCGCAAGTGAGACATGAAACGAGCAATATCCTGCACAGATACCTTATCTGGCGAATGAATGTGATGTTTACAACACCACTTCGTGAAAATAACCCAACGTGCATTATACACCTTCTGGGTAGAATCACGATGCATACTAACGTATGCCCGAGACGCCCGGCGAGAAAAAACTTTACTCCTCAGACGCTCGGTGACAACATCCACGCGTGCAGATTGAACTGCCCTGCGTTTGGATGAAGCTGACGGGTGTGAGGGTGGATCAAGAGATCCGGTCTCACAGGCAGTGGAAGTGGCGACTGCGTGACCTGGGTCAGCAAGTCGGGGTACCACGATCTGTTCGGCCACATGGGCGCGATCAGTAACATTCGACAGCGAACTCCTCGGAGCCGGCTTAGAATGTGTGGTATCAACGCTGTCGGCGGGTAAGCATAAGCGACCAACCCCGTCCAGTCTAACGCGAGAGCATCGTGATCGATGGCCCTCGGGACCGGGACTGGTGATACAAACAACGGGAGTTGATTGTTGAACCGCGTTGCGAACAGGTCGACCATCGGACGACCCAAACGTTCGCACAGCCACTGAAACACTACTGGGTTCAGCATCCACTCTGTGGGGCTCGGATCCTGAGGCCTCGATAGAGCTTCGGCCAGTACGTTCCGCACACCTGGGATGTGACGGGCGCGTATCTGGCACGGGACACTGTCCACCAGAGCGTAAAACTCGAACGTGAGATCGAGTAGCGAGTGACTGTGGGTTCCCCCCAGTTTGTTCACATAGGACACTACCGTCGTGTTGTCGGTCGCCAGCATGAGCCGGGCGTCGACGAGACGATGCTTCCAGTGATTGACTGCGTTGATCACTGCCTTGAACTCGAGACAAGTGATGTGAAGACCTAGTTCGTCTAAGCACCACAGCCCCGAGCTCACCTCCCCCTCTAGATGGGCGCCCCAGCCCACTAGAGAGGCGTCTGTATACAGGGTCAACGTGGCCCGGTAGGGCCGCATAGAGACTCCTGATAAGACAATGTAAGGGACCGTCCACCACTCCAGATGCGGTCGGAGCCGATCCGGGAGGGCGACGGTCGCACTGTTCACCTCCGTTGCTAACAACTGGATTAAAAACCGTTGCAGCGGGCGGAGTTGGAGACGACCCCGTGCGGTGCAGTCCTGGGCTGATACAAGTAGCCCTAACAGCTGTTCCCAAAAGTGAACAGTCTGTTGCACCGCTAAGACTTTGGCAATCATCGCCTGAATTTTGTGCCACCGGTCTGGGGGGACAAAGAGGCGATGGGACACCGTGTTGAACCTTTTACTTTTCTTTTTTTTTTTTTTTTTTTTGACCTCCGATGAACAGCAAGTTCTGAGAAGGGGTTAACTCGCTCTTGGGGAGATTGATAATCCACCCAAATTGCTCCAAGAGCCGACGTGCGAAATCGAGATGGCGTGACAGGGTGTCCGTCATTCGATTTGCTACTAGCGAGTCGTCCAGGTACGCGAAGTACCGGACACCCCTCCTGTGGAGGAACCCCACTATGGGGGTGGTTAACCGGGTGAACAGCCAGGGAGCGGACGTGTGAATCATTCTGAGTTCGGCACTGTCCTACTTGGGAACGAGAAATATCCTGGAGTAAAACCCCGGTGTTATTTCTGGTAGAGCTAACTCCCGTACTGCCCCTTCTCCACCAACCTGCCGATGGCATCGGCGAGGATGGGAAGATCGGTTTCCGAATCGAAACCTGCCAACGGGGCAACGGTGAGCGGCGGATTCGCTTTGAGATCAAGCCGATAGCCGTACCGAATCGTGTTGACCACCCACGGGTCGTCGAACACTTGTTCCCAATTCTCCCAGTAAGTCTGGAGTCTGGCTCCCACTGGGGAAGGAGAGGGGGCCCTGACAGGTTGCGACAGGCGCAACTGTCCAGGGCCAAGTGACTCGGGTTCGCCTAAGGGCCAACCGAAGTTGGCGCTGTCGGCATACGAACCCCTCCAATGAGAGTCACCTGGAGGGGCCCTTGCCGTCCGTCGACGACTTGGGCTTCCCCCAGTTCCCCGTCTTCCCGCGAAAGGGCAGCTGATTGCCCATACCGGAGCCCTCAGGGCGGGGCTACTTCCCAGAGGAAGAAGAACCCGACCCCTTAGACCTACAGGCCGCAGCAGCCTGGGGCGCGCTCCGGTTAGGAGCGGCACCCAGGCGCCTATGCAGGGACCCAACAAGAGCAAGTGTGTGCCGAGAGTCCTCGGCAACGTACTCCAGGGAAGCATTTAAACTGAGCAGGCAGTTGTAAATGCGCTGGTCACGGTCCGTGGGAGAACCTTCGACCAGACGGGCCGCTGCAGCCAAGTAAGTGTCTCCGTGAGACATGGAGTGCCGAGCGAGGGCGTCCAGCTGGTGCAAGGTAGCTTGCGTTACCGTAGCAGCCGGTGGGGCACGGACACCCAACCGCTCAACATGGGCCTCCGCGGTAGGACCAGCCTCGGGAAAGGCAAGGTCATGTACCGGGAATAAACCCTTTCTCCACGACGTCGGAGGCAACGGGAGACCCCGACCGGAGGCCGCCGCGAAGGCGTTCTCCAAGGAAGGCTTGAAACCGCGCAGCAAGGTTGATGCGGGGAAAGCCGTGTCGGAAGACTCATCGTATACCTCGGAGGAACCCACAGTCGTGGATTCCCCGCGGTACCGGCCGGGGCATGTCCTCAAAGAGGTCATAAACCATGGCCACGCGGTCCTAAACCGATAGCGGGAGCAACGGTTCGGGGGAAGGACCGGTGACCACGGGAGCCGCCGCCGTACCGGTGGACCCCGCGTCCGACCCCGCGGCCACCGAAGTGGCCGGGGACGGAACAGCCAGCGGCCTATCCTGAGATAAGGCCGCCAGCTTGGAGTCCACAAGTTATGCAAGTAATGCAGCGACGGAATCCCCGGACAGCACACGGGCCGCCAAGAGATCCGCCGCTTTACCGGTGGACCCCGCGGCCACCGAAGAGGCCGGGGACGGAACAGCCAGTGGCCTATCTTGCGATAAGGCCGCCAGCTTGGAATCCACAAGTTTCGACAACAATGCGGCGACGGAATCCCCAGACAGCCCGAGGGCCGCAAGGGGATCCGCCGCAGCCGAGGAGGTGGTACCCGCACGGGGACCCCGACCGGACGAACCGGCCACCACAGGGGTGGAGACGGACTGTACGTACAGCCGGTACCGCTCAAAATCCGCAGGCCCCAGACCTTCGCACAGGATGCACCGGGTGTCCCCGCAAGGAACCCTGCACCGCGGGCAACGATCGTGGGGATCCCGGGACGACAAAAACTTTCTGCACACCCCATAACTCCGAGGAGCAGGGGTAGAGGGGGTGGATACTGGGGACATATCCATGTCAGACATTGATTGTTTGCTATAAACAAAGAACAAAACATGGTTACAACGCACGCACCACAATGATTCACAAACAAACATTTTCACAAGAAAATAAACGAGCAATGTGAACATATAACATACACATATAACTTTTATTAAAGAAATAAGTTATGTTAACCCCCAAAACATACAAGAACAGGGGAAACGTAAAACACAACGTGCATACGCGAACCCCGCAAGTATATAGAAAAAAGGGCGGGAAAAAATTTCCGTTTGGCGGGAAAATTATAACCAAGCGTAGCTACCGCAACGCCCCATAAAAGCACAGTTTATTAGAGAATAAACTATAATAAATATCACCAAATCTTCAAGGAACGCTTCAGCAGGAGAAAACACGTCTTGCTAAGCAGACGAAGGAGACAAGAGTGAAGGGTGTCACATGGCAGCTAGGTGGCTACGCACGTGCTGCATGAGGTAATTGAGATCTCTGTGGTAGATTTCACTATAGCAGCAGTTGTGGGAGACAACAGCCTCGGTATAACAGTGGTAACGTATTACTTAATGTAATTATTTGTTACATTTGACCACTTTCTAAAAAGTGTGTGTTCATTGTGTGTTCAAGGCTAGCCATGTTTTTCTGCATGAACAACAATCCACATCTTCAAGGAACAAAGATGCACAAGCAGCCAGATTTTACATTGTAACACTCTGTCCATGTCAGCAGGATCTCACAATTGTGTTGTTGTGCTGTGAATAACACTCAAAAGCTATGAACTGAAATTGTAAATCCATCAGGTGCTCCAACTTAAGGATAATGACTTGTCCCACAGTCTGCACTCACCATATCCTGACCGTGGGGTCCCTGAGCTGCCCGAGGTGGGAGGGGTGTGGACAGCCCTACTCTGGGTGACACCTCGCTGTCCCAGGGTGTTGCCGTCCCGAGATACACTCAAGTGTCGGGCACCTGCTGAAATGTGCACAAGTTGTGGTATCATGACCTGTTCACTGAAGAATTAAACACAACCAGGATACTTTTCTCAATTACAAGTTTCAGAATACTACATTTACTGATGATTTAGTTCCAATATACCTGCAACATTAGAAAGGTGATGAGCTACTGAGGGAACACTACATTTCTTATATATATCATCATCTTTTCGAACGCTTCAGGAACACTCATAGTTTTCTCGCTAATCACAAGAACAACTGTAAAACATCTCACTCACTTATTAATGATGCCTTTATCTCAAAAACAGGCCATCATCTGAGTATTATAATGTCTGTGTTATGCTACACCCCGTGTTATAGAGTGAGTAATCGGGATAAACACGGCTGTCCGAAAATACCATGAAATTCATGTGTCACCAACTCAATGTCAGCGCCATCCCCCAAGCCTAAAATGAGTCTTAAAATAAAGGCGAAAAGCCCTCACATTGTAATTTTAAACTTATCTGCAAATGACAACCTCAACATAATTCAATGACAAAGTTTGCTTTCTTCACAAACTTCTCTTCTACCACTTGACGTGTGATATAACTTTCGGGAAATCAAGAGCAGGAAATTCTATATAAGGCATTCAAACAAGATGCGTCCGTTCAACCAAAGAAGAGTGTAAAGGTTCAAAGCGATGTTCGTAAATTAGCTCAATCCCTTGAATTTGAATGAGCAGTGTTAGGCTAAAAAAAATAATAGTCTTGGTTCTCGGGCACTGCCCTCATCATCATAAAGTCTGCCGCTTAAAAAAAAGAAAAAAGTCTGCCATTTAAAAAAAAATATTTAAAAAATCCTTAAATATTCAAAGTCTAATGGTAGTCAAACACTGCATTCCAGTATTTTACTTATCAAGGTATACATTTATGTAGGGAGGCCCTTTCCCCGTTTGATTGTACACAATTGTTTATTTGGTTACACAACTGTTATTTGGTTACATACCTATTTGAACAACCCTAAAAAAATAAGACACCACCCTCACGCATTATACGTTCAAAAACATATGCCTGGGAACCAATTCTTTTGGTTTTTTAAGCTGTGACTGTACTGGACATTTTCACTGTGTGGGTGAACAGTGTTTTGCTTGTAATGATAAGATTATTTGATAAAGTTGCCAAGAACAAAAATGCTGTCAAACATGGCGACTGTAACATTTGTTTGACTAACTTGTGTAAACAAACTGAACAAAGGGGCTAGGTAGTAATGATAGGGTGACATAGTATATCTAGAGTCATTTAGTGAGTGAGTGGGTATGGTTTTACGCCACTTTTAGCAATATTCCAGCAATATCAAGGCAGGGGACACCAGAAATGGGCTTCACACATCGTACCCATGTCGGGAATCGAACCTGGGCCCTTGGCGTGACGAGCGAACGCTTTAACCACTAGGCTCCCCGACCGCCCCTAGAGTCATTGAGAAGCAGTGAGGAACACGCCATACCTGATGTACTGAGAGTCGTGTCTGTACTGGTGGTGGACGGCAGCTGTGTCTCCATGGTTACACTGACTGGCTGCACTGTAGGGTTGGAATACAGGCTGGCCAGAAGCATCATCATCTCCTGGTAGAACTGGCTGTGGTGCAGCAACGCCAGCAGCGCTGTCAGTCCGACCAGGGACACCTGGAATACAGGATGGAAGCATCAGCAGGGAGAAGCATCATCACACAGACAGAAACATTATCAGACAGACACAAGGACCATCAGATCGACAGAAGCATCATCACACAGACAGAAGCGCCATCAGCCAGAAGCACCATCACACAGACACAAGCTCCATCAGACAGACACATGCACCATCAGACGGACACAAGCACCATGAGACAGACACAAGCACCATGAGACAGACTTAAGCACCATGAGACAGACACAAGCATCATCAGACACAAGCACCATCAGACAAAAGCACCATCAGACAAAAGCACCATCAGAAAAAAGCACCATCAGACAGACACAAGCATCATCAGACGGAAGCATCATCAGACAGACAGAAGCACCATTAGACACAAGCACCATCAGACACATGGACCATCAGACAGACACAATCATCACGAGAGAGGCACAAGCACCATCAGACAAAAGCACCATCAGGCAGACACAAGCACCATTGGACACAATCACCATCAGACAGACGCAAGCACCACCAGACAAAGGACCATTAGACAGACACAATCATCATGAGACAGGCACAAGCATCATCGGACAGGCACAAGCATCATCAGACAGGCACAAACATCATCAGACAGACACAAGCACCATCAGACACATGGACCATCAGACGGAGGCACCATCAGACAGACACAATCATCATGAGACAGGCACAAGCACCATCAGACAAAAGCACCATCAGACAGACACAAGCACCATTGGACACAATCACCATCAGACAGATGCAAGCACCACCAGACAAAGCACCATCAGACAGACGCAAGCACCACCAGACAAAGCACCATCAGACAGACACAAGCACCATCAGACTGACAGAATCACCATCACAGACAGAAGCAACATCAGCCAAATTAGGGACAGACACACATACAAACGGCAGTACAATCATACAGACAGACTTCATCAAGGTGAAACAAGGTCAGCAGTGTCAGACCATGGTTACACAGACAGCGGTAGCTTCATGGAGAGCATTTGTCCACCTACCTCGTACTCTGTGTCTGTGACGACTGGCCCCTGCCATGTATTCTGCACTCCATCAACCCCTCCACTCGGCATTGTCTGTGATGTCAGATTCACCAGCAGCAGAGCAGCCTGCAACACACTCACACTGGAGGAGGACATGTACAGACACATCTACAGATGTTCTCACCAGACATAGGTGGATCCAGAGAGAGGAAGACTGGTCCAGATCCCCCCTTTTGAAATCCAAATGTAGTATGTTGTAGGCAGTAAAATTATCAGAGAGGATTTGATAGTTTGGACCCCTCCCTTTTTAAAATGCCTGGGCCCCAATCCACAAAGTGGTATTAGGGCTCAGGTGATTGTAACTCCGATATTTTAACACATGCTTACGATAGTTGTAGCACTCAGATCACTTTGTCGAAGGGTGCTCTGACCCAGTAGTTAAGGTGAGGTAAACTGGGGTTTATCATTGTGTTCAAGATTATTGAACCTATATAGCGATGAGCATGCACATGTCTGGCTGCTTGTACTAGTCTGGACTAATGTCAGTTTTATAGTGCTAGCCGACCGAAATACCATGCCGCAGTTTAACATGAAAACCCAACTCAGACACAGCATACTGAGCCGACCAGTGCTTGTTTTATCTCCTTAACGTCAAGCACCAGATAGGAAAACAACAAATAACATCTTTCAGGTTTCTGGACCGCCTAGTGGTAGAGCGTCCGCCTGGAGAGCGGAAGGTCCGGGGTTCGATCCCCGGCCGCGTCATACCAAAAGAAGGTAAAATATGGTACTTGTTGTTACCCTGTCTGGCGCTCGGCATTAAGGGGCTAAAACAAGGACTGGTCGGCTTGGAGTCAGTATACTGTGTCTGAGTGGGGTATTCATGTTAAATTGCGGCATGGTATCTCAGTGAGCTAGCACTATAAATCGGCATCAGTCCGGACTAGTACAAGCACCCACACAAACACACACACGTACATGCACGTCGCTATATAAGTGCAATAATCTTGGACACGACGTTAAACACCATTTCACCTCACCTCACGTTTCAGTTTCTTTTAGTATGACATGGATGGGGATCAAACCAGTGACCATGGAGGCGATCATCGGACACCTAAACCAAACAAGGACATTTTTCCATATAGGACACTGATTACAGTGCCTGGTATCTAACTGAGAATGGTCAACCAACTGTAGAATCAAAACTATCGGTAATCAGTATATAGCTGCCACAGAAGTAGCTTATGTTAACCACGTCACATTGAGCATAGGGTGTGTTTAATCATAGAGGCATACATTCTGCAATGTCATAAATTCTACATAAGAATTACAAACTAACCTAGGAAATATCAGTCATCCTCAACATGACCTGCTGTCACATCAACAACTGAGTTAACAAAGTGTCCTTCATCTCACCTGTTGTCTGACCATGCTGCACTCTGATTGGTCCAGAAGGATGCTGAAGGCTGCACCCCAGATGCCCCCTGGGATATGTTTACAGTTCTCGGTGATGATGATGCGACCCATCTCGGTGGATGTCAGGGCGACGGCTATACCAAGGCCGGCAGCTCGGACCTGGCAACGTAGAGAGGTGTGGAGTGAGGGTGAGCGGAATTCAACACAGCTAGAACAGTATGTCAGCTACATCATGGCATGTCAGCTCAATGAGGGAGGGAAGCGTAGAGTGACACAGACTATAGGTGATAATCTCTTGGTTAAATCCATGAATACGAGTATGGTGATGACAAACCAAGGATCATAATCAATCTGAGAATCGATCCCTGGAACACCTAATCCTGGCACCACAAACAGTACAGGCTGTAACACTGCAAGTTACTCATACAACCTGACACAGGGTCACTTGCCTGTCTCTGTGGCTGACAGAGAGTGACGTACCTCGCAGTCTCTGTGGCTGACAGAGAGTAGCGTACCTCGGGGTCTCTGTGGCTGACAGAGAGTGACGTACCTCTGGGTCTCTGTATCTGACAGAGAGTGACGTACCTCGGGGTCCCTGTGGCTGACAGAGAGTGATGTACCTCGCGGTCTCTACGGCTGACAGAGAGTGACGTACCTCGGGGTCTCTGTGGCTGACAGAGAGTGACTTACCTCGGGGTCTCTGTATCTGACAGAGAGTAGCATACCTCGGGGTCTCTGTGGCTGACAGAGAGTGACGTACCTCTGGGTCTCTGTATCTGACAGAGAGTGACATACCTATGGGTCTCAGTATCTGACAGAGAGTGACGTACCTCTGGGTCTCTGTATCTGACAGAGAGTGACTTACCTCTGGGTCTCTGTGTCTGACAGAGAGTAGCATACCTCGCGGTCTCTGTGGCTGACAGAGAGTGATATACCTCTGGGTCTCTGTATCTGACAGAGAGTGACGTGCCTCTGGGTCTTTGTATCTGACAGAGAGTGATGTACCTCGGGGTCCCTGTGGCTGACAGAGAGTGACTTACCTCGGGGTCTCTGTATCTGACAGAGAGTGACGTACCTTGGGGTCCCTGTATCTGAGAGAGTGACTTACCTCAGGGTCCCTGTATCTGAGAGAGAGTGACGTACCTCAGGGTCTCTGTATCTGAGAGAGAGTGACTTACTTCCGGGTCTCTGTATCTGACAGAGAGTGACGTACCTCAGGGTCCCTGTATCTGAGAGAGAGTGACGTGCCTCTGGGTCTCTGTATCTGACAGAGAGTGACGTACCTTGGGGTCCCTGTATCTGAGAGAGTGACGTACCTCGGGGTCCCTGTATCTGAGAGAGAGTGACGTACCTTGGGGTCCCTGTATCTGAGAGAGTGACTTACCTCAGGGTCCCTGTATCTGAGAGAGAGTGACGTACCTCGGGGTCCCTGTATCTGAGAGAGAGTGACCTACTTCCGGGTCTCTGTATCTGACAGAGAGTGCCTTACCTCAGGGTCCCTGTATCTGAGAGAGAGTGACGTGCCTCTGGGTCTCTGTATCTGAGAGAGAGTGACGTACCTTGGGGTCCCTGTATCTGAGAGAGTGACTTACCTCAGGGTCCCTGTATCTGAGAGAGACTTACCTCGGGGGGCCCTGTATCTGACAGAGAGTGACTTACTTCGGGGTCTCTGTAGGCCCACAGTGTCAGCATCCAGTTGAGTCCCGGCTCCCCCGCTCCATCTGTCCCCCGCCGACTATAGATCCAACTTCGTGGCCAGTCCTGGAGACAGACAAATCATCACTGCTTCTTTCAAGTGTACACTACAGACAACATACTGCTATAAACTCTACAGACTTTGGTCTTACACTACAGACAACATAATGCCTTAACTCTACAGACTTTGGTCTTACACTACAGACAACATAATGCCTTAACTCTACAGACTTTGGTCTTACACTACAGACAACATACTGCTTTAACTCTACAGACTTTGGTCTTACACTACAGACAACATACTGCTTTAACTCTACAGACTTTGGTCTTACACTACAGACAACATAATGCCTTAACTCTACAGACTTTGGTCTTACACTACAGACAACATAATGCCTTAACTCTACAGACTTTGGTCTTACACTACAGACAACATACTGCCTTAACTCTACAGACTTTGGTCTTACACTACAGACAACATACTGCTATAAACTCTACAGACTTTGGTCTTACACTACAGACAACATACTGCTTTAACTCTACAGACTTTGGTCTTACACTACAGACAACATACTGCTATAAACTCTACAGACTTTGGTCTTACACTACAGACAACATACTGCTATAAACTCTACAGACTTTGGTCTTACACTACAGACAACATACTGCTATAAACTCTACAGACTTTGGTCTTACACTACAGACAACATACTGCTATAAACTCTACACACTTTGGTCTTACACTACAGACAACATACTGCTATAAACTCTACAGACTTTGGTCTTACACTACAGACAACATACTGCTATAAACTCTACACACTTTGGTCTTACACTACAGACAACATACTGCTATAAACTCTACACACTTTGGTCTTACACTACAGACAACATACTGCTATAAACTCTACAGACTTTGGTCTTACACTACAGACAACATACTGCTATAAACTCTACACACTTGGGAATTAGTCCTCAGTATCCCATGCTTGTCTTCAGGCCAAACAAAAACATGTGTTTCAGGTAACATGACTCCAGCAGGTATGGTGGGTGGGGACATTTTTCTTATTTAATATTTATTGAACAATGTTGACAGATGACTTGTTCAGACAGATGTCAGTTAGTTAGCAATGATTTTTGAATTTGTAGGTCCAAACAGCTTCAGCAATGACAATATGAAGAAACATCTGATATATGTTGCATCTATGGCTGTTTGTCGCTTCTGATAAAAACATTTGGTAGGTCGGGTTACCTGTAACACAAGTACCGTATTCGACGTAATAAGCGCCCAGGGCGCTCTCAAAATTAGAAATAGGGGGCTCTTATTAGAATATTATTTTGGTGAAAATAATAGAGTTGAAAGAAAAATTTCGTGGTTTATGCCGACAGGCTGAAATGTTGATGTACGACAGATATATTTTTCCTGAATTTAATTGCCCATAGTCAGGAGTGCATATAACACACGAGTGCGTATTATACGGGAATAAATAAGTCGTGTGTACATTGATCAATCTGAAGGGGTGCTACTTGGGATTTTTCACCAGCCAATATCTTAGCAAAATGTCGCTGTGGGTGCTTATTAGAGCAGGGCACTTATTACGTCGTATACGGTATTGTTTGTTTTGCCCATGAGCCAATGCTGTTCCTGCTATGATCCACTAGTTTGCCTTGGTCAGACTGATTATTTGCGGGCTGCCATGATACGGCTGGACTATTGCTGGCTGACGAAAAAAACACACAAAACCTGGCCCACCTGGTCGTCCGTAACAATTGCCATCTCATGGGCCAAATGACGCAGGCACATGGTGGCCGACTTGGTCACTCCCTTTCCCATGTACGACATGGAGGTGCTGCCACGCCCGATGTGAAATGCTGACACTACCTGTCAACAGAAGACAGACACAAATGAGAAAATATACAGGATACGCATACAATCTGTAAAGTCTACAACCATTTCTCAACGACAAAAAAGCAGTGGGGTAGCCTAGTAGGTACAGTGATATTGCCGAAATATTGTTAAAAGCAAAATAAAACCATATAAAACTCACTCTCATTTCAAGGGTGATGAACTCGCTTAATTCTAGAGCTGAGTATCGCCTGGTGTCTTGGGATACAATATCTATCACGATACAGACTGACCATGCCACTGGTATCACGATACACAAACAAATAGAAAAAAATGATGAAATCACAGAAATATACCTCTCAAAATCTGGATACAAACATTCACTTAAAATCATCTCAAAAACAAAATCTTGTTAAAAAAAACAAGAATAAAACAGTTAAAAATGAAGGGATGGTTATTAAATGTAATAGTTTAATAGCAGGCACGTCCTCTATCACCACGTCCTCTATCACCACGTCCTAACAGGTGGCGCTATGCTACTTCTGCCTTAACGGGCGGTAACGCTATAAGTTAATGTTTTAAAAATAGTGTATCACGATCTCATCTATTTTGTTTGTTTGTTTGTTGTTTAACGCTGCACTCAGCAATATTCCAGCTATATGACGGCGGTCTGTAAATAAAAGAGTCTGGACCAGACAATCCCCCAACTGGGATCGATGACATGTATCAACCAAGTCAGCTAGCCTGACCACCGATCCCGTTAGTCGCCTTTAACGACAAGCATAGTCACCTTTTACGGCAAGTATAGGTTGCTGAAGACCTACTCTACCCTGGACCTTCACGGGTCTGTATCATCTGTACCTTAATATCGATGATATCTTAGGTATCTGTGAATCATTACAGCCCTACCATTTTCATCCCATTGAGTGAGTGAGTGAGTTGGATTTAACGCCACTTTTAACAGTATTCCAGTTATATCGCGGCGTGCCAGCTTAATGTGGGAGGAAAGCCCGAAGTGATGCAGGTCTCAGACGTTTACCACTTCGGTCAAACCCACGAGCACGGGTATGGTGCTGACAAACCTAGAAACATAATCGGGGCGAACCGGGATTAGAACCCACAATCATAGGTTTCTGGCGGGCCTAAGGGATGCAACTCTGCACAGCGAATCGCGGCGCCTTAGACGACTGGGCCAACCATGCCCCCTCATCCCATTGAGACAAATATGCACAGGTGGTCCAGAGGGAGGATGCAGGGGGTGCAAACGCCCTCTTTTTTAGCAGAAACATTAAACATTAACTGCACCCTCAGCCACTTCAGGACTTGGGTATAATGTGCACCTCTCTTTTCAACACTCTGGATCTGCTTCTCAATAGTGACTGTTTTTTTATGGTGTGATGAAAAATATTGACGATCAGTAACAGGGGCTTTCAAGTTCACCAAAAATACACAGTTTTCTAAAGTTGTTGACATAATAAACACAAGTTTAATATATATAATTACTGTTGTCAATGTTCTAACAATAAGGTGAAAACGTGATGCAGGTTATTGATCAGCTGGATCTGTGAAGATCCGGGGTAGAATAGGTCTTCAGCAACCCATGCTAGCTGTAAAAGGCAGACTATCCTTGTCGTAATAGGTGACTAACGGGATCATGTGGTCAGGCTCGCTGACTTGGTTGATGCATGTCATCGTATCCCACTTGTGTGGATCATTGCTCATGATATCAATCTCTGGGCTGTCTGGTCCAGACTCGATTATTTACAGACTGCCGTCTTATAGGTGGAATATTGCTGAGTGCGGCATTAAACAACAAACAAACAAACAAATATTGATCAGCAGTGTCCCAGGATCAACAGACATCTATAACACCTGGAACCAGATGGTGCTGTGCATTATGGAAACTATCAATACCTCATCGATTATGCAAATAATCATTGTCAAAGGTCATAATATCATATAGATCTCAGTGATATGACAACAGAAAGACATATGACAGTATGCAAGCCTCCATAGCTCAGTGGATAGAGCACTGGTCTTGTAAACCAGGGGTCGTGAGTTCGATCCTCACTGGGGGCTGAAGTTTTTCTTTTTCAATCAGCAGAGAATGTATCACTGTTCAACAATGTAGTCTATTTCCTGACAATACATGGAGTATTCACAACAGAGTAGTGTGAAAAGGGATAAAATTGAAAATTATAATGGAAACATAATAATGTAATCTCTTTTACTTGTAATGACTGAAAAAATGTCATCCAAATTTTCTTAAATTTGCAGCAATACAGATCAAATGTAACCTGGCTATAGTGTTTCTCCTTTTACTGGCAGCCATTTTGTATTATATCTAAGCTTGCAGTTTATGTGTTCAATTTCGCCTCTATGAAATACTTGATTAGGTGTTGGTTAACATATCTACAGCAATTACACACAAACAACCTCACATAAAGAGATTGTAACACAAATACCTTCAGGTAAAGTAACACTGTAACACACATACACACCTTCAGGTATAGAGACATTGTAACACACGTACACACCTTCAGGTATAGACACAATGTAACACACACACACACCTTCAGGTAAAGAGACAATGTAACACACATACACACCTTCAGGTATACAGACATTGTAACACACGTACACACCTTCAGGTATAGACACAATGTAACACACATACATACCTTCAAGTATAGAGACAATGTAACAAACACACCTTCAGTTAAAGAGACAATGTAACACACACACCTCCAGGTATAGAGACATTGTAACACACATACTCACCTTCAGGTAAAGAGACAATGTAACACACACACCTCCAGGTATAGAGACATTGTAACACACATACTCACCTTCAGGTAAAGAGACAATGTAACACACACACCTCCAGGTATAGAGACATTGTAACACACATACTCACCTTCAGGTAAAGAGACAATGTAACACACACACCTCCAGGTATAGAGACAATCACACCTCCAGGTAAAGAGACAATGTAACACACACCTTCAGGTATAGAGACAATCACACCTCCAGGTAAAGAGACAATGTAACACACACGCCTCCAGGTAAAGAGACAATCACACCTCCAGGTAAAGAGACAATGTAACACACACGCCTCCAGGTAAAGAGTGAGTGAGTGAGTGAGTGAGTGAGTGAGTGAGTGAGTGAGTGAGTGAGTGAGTGAGTTGGGTTTAATGCCCCTTTTAACAGTATTCCAGTTATATCGCGGCGTGCCAGCTTAATGTGGGAGGAAAGCCCGAAGTGATGCAGGTCTCAGACGTTTACCACTTCGGTCAAACCCACGAGCACGGGTATGGTGCTGACAAACCTAGAAACATAATCGGGGCGAACCGGGATTAGAACCCACAATCATAGGTTTCTGGCGGGCCTAAGGGATGCAACTCTGCACAGCGAATCGCGGCGCCTTAGACGACTGGGCCAACCATGCCCCCTCATCCCATTGAGACAAATATGCACAGGTGGTCCAGAGGGAGGATGCAGGGGGTGCAAACGCCCTCTTTTTTAGCAGAAACATTAAACATTAACTGCACCCTCAGCCACTTCAGGACTTGGGTATAATGTGGACCTCTCTTTTCAACACTCTGGACCTGCTTCTCAATAGTCACTGTTTTTTTATGGTGTGATGAAAAATATTGACGATCAGTAACAGGGGCTTTCAAGTTCACCAAAAATACACAGTTTTCTAAAGTTGTTGACATAATAAAAACAAGTTTAATTTCTGTTGTCAATGTTCTAACAATAAGGTGAAAACGTGATGCAGGTTATTGATCAGCTGGATCTGTGAAGATCCGGGGTAGAATAGGTCTTCAGCAACCCATGCTAGCTGTAAAATGCAGACTATCCTTGTCGTAATAGGTGACTAACGGGATCATGTGGTCAGGTGTTGACTTGGTTGATGCATGTCATCGTATCCCACTTGCGTGGATCGATGCTCATGGTATCAATCACTGGATTGTCTGGTACAGACTCGATTATTTACAGACCGCCATCTTATAGGTGGAATATTGCTGAGTGCGGCATTAAACAACAAACAAACAAACAAATATTGATCAGCATTGTCCCAGGATCAACAGACATCTATAACACCTGGAACCAGATGGTGCTGTGCATTATGGGAACTATCAATACCTCATCGATTATGCAAATAATCATTGTCAAAGGTCATGATATCATATAGATCTCAGCGATATGACAGCAGAAAGACATTCTACAGTATGCAAGCCTCCATAGCTCAGTGGATAGAGCACTGGTCTTGTAAACCAGGGGTCGTGAGTTCGATCCTCACTGGGGGCTGAAGTTTTTCTTTTTCAATCAACAGAGAATGTATCACTGTTCAACAATGTAGTCTATTTCCTGACAATACATGGAGTATTCACAACAGAGTAGTGTGAAAAGGGATAAAATTGAAAATTATAATGGAAACATAATAATGTAATCTGTTTTACTTGTAACAACTGAAAAAAATGTCATCCAAATTATCTTATATTTGCAGCAGTACAGATCAAATGTAACCTGGCTGTAATGTTTCTCCTTTAACTGGTAGCCATTTTGTAGTATATCTAAGCTTGTAGTTTATGTGTTCAATTTCTCCTCTATGAAATACTAGAATAGGTGTTGGTTAACTCAATTGGACTCAACCCTGGTAATAATTAAAAACATTTACACATACCTACAGCAATTACACACAAACAACTTCACATAAAAAAAACAATGTAACACACACACCTTCAGGTATAGAGACAATGTAACACACACACCTTCAGGTATAGAGACAATGTAACACACACACCTTCAGGTATAGAGACAATGTAACACACATACACACCTTCAGGTATAGAGACAATGTAACACACATACCTTCAGGAATATTGAAACTGTAACACACACACCTTCAGGTATGGAGACAATGTAACACACACACCTTCAGGTATAGAGACAATGTAACACTTATAAACCTATTCATTGGGATCTCTATTAAGTAAGAGGGTTCTTTCTATAGGCATTAAAACCTATTGTGAGGTTTTACTTTCAAAGTAAAACCTATTATGAGGTTTTATTTTCGTTCTGGAGGTTTTACTTTGAATGTAAAACCTCAAATCCCAAATTTAACCAAGTAACTGAAAAAATGACTAAAAGTAGCAATTCAAAATTGTAATTCAATTAAAATTGAATGTCATGTGTACAGTGAATGAAGACTGGGTAACAAAATGAAAGTCGTCATCGCTCATCTTTCCACTTCAGTGTCTCTGGTGAAAGGACAGAGAGGTTTCAAAACACGTGCTTTTAAAGTGCTTATCAATGCTGCACAATTTGCACGTACAGTAACTGCTAGCCGTTAGGTCACAACTACCTCTATGTAACAGTTGGATTGTTTAAAGTCATAAATCTTGTTAAGCAAAAGACACCTTTTAAATTTGCGAATTTTCTTTTTGAAAAGTTTAAAAGAAGTGGAATATTGCAACACAAACATTTAGAGACCGAAGATTTCACTTTCATTTAAAAGTAAGTATTTTAGTTGTGTTTTGTTATTGACACATCCAAGTGCTCTTGACCGCCTGGCAAGTCAGCGAATTTCACGTGCAAGTTATGATATCACGTCTTCAAGGAAGCGCTATAATGAAGCACCTCATTAATAGATGCTCGTTATAACATATAATCAATTTAGACGGTTTATAAGTATGGAAAAACACTTTCCCTCGGTTTTGGTAGACAGAGCATGCCCTGGGGGACGAGAAAAACCGCGGGGGCTTCGCCCCCTTGGTTTTTCCCTCTCCCCAGGGCATGCTCTGTCTACCAAAACCTCGTGAGCGTGTTTTCTCCAATCCGTAGACACCTTAAGGGATAGAGACAATGTAACACACACACCTTCAGGTATATTGACACTGTAACACACACACCTTCAGGTATATTGACACTGTAACACTCACACCTTCAGGTATAGTGACACTCTAACACACACACCTTCAGGTAAGAGACAATGGAATCCACAGAGAGACACGTACCTCCAGGAGACAGGTGAGGACCTGGGAACAAAGGGAGCTGCTGTCGATGTCTGTACACTCATGGCTCCAGCCCGGCCTGCAACACACACATACAGTTTACTCCTACCTGTACAACACAGGTACACCTACCACATGGCCTGCAACTCATCTCCGTCTAGCCCAGGGTGCATCTAGCACTGCACTGTTCCCGCCACCCCACCCACCTGGCTGTCAGGTGCATCAAGCACTGCACTGTCCCCGCCACCCCACCCACCTGGCTGACAGGTGCATCAAGCACTGCACTGTCCCCTCCACCCCACCCACCTGGCTGTCAGGTGCATCAAGCACTGCACTGTCCCCTCCACCCCACCCACCTGGCTGTCAGGTGCATCAATCACTGCACTGTTCCCGCCACCCCACCCACCTGGCTGTCAGGTGCATCAAGCACTGTACTGTCACCCCACCCACCTGGCTGTCCGGTGCATCAAGCACTGTACTGTCCCCTCCACCCCACCCACCTGGTAGTCAGGTGCATCAAGCACTGCACTGTTCCCGCCACCCCACCCACCTGGCTGTCAGGTGCATCAAGCACTGCACTGTCCCCTCCACCCCACCCACCTGGCTGTCAGGTGCATCAATCACTGCACTGTTCCCGCCACCCCACCCACCTGGCTGTCAGGTGCATCAAGCACTGTACTGTCACCCCACCCACCTGGCTGTCCGGTGCATCAAGCACTGTACTGTCCCCTCCACCCCACCCACCTGGTAGTCAGGTGCATCAAGCACTGCACTGTTCCCGCCACCCCACCCACCTGGCTGTCAGGTGCATCAAGCACTGTACTGCCACCCCACCCACCTGGCTGTCAGGTGCATCAAGCACTGCACTGTCCCCGCCACCCACCTGGCTGTCAGGTGCATCAAGCACTGCACTGTCACCCCACCCCACCCACCTGGTAGTCAGGTGCATCAAGCACTGCACTGTCCCCGCCACCCACCTGGCTGTCAGGTGCATCAAGCACTGCACTGTCACCCCACCCCACCCACCTGGCTGTCAGGTGCATCAAGCACTGTACTGTCACCTCCACCCACCTGGCTGTCAGGTGCATCAAGCACTGCACTGTCCCCTCCACCCACCTGGCTGTCAGGTGCATCAAGCACTGCACTGTTCCCGCCACCCCACCCACCTGGCTGTCAGGTGCATCAAGCACTGTACTGCCACCCCACCCACCTGGCTGTCAGGTGCATCAAGCACCTCACTGTCCCTGCCACCCACCTGGCTGTCAGGTGCATCAAGCACCTCACTGTCCCCGCCACCCACCTGGCTGTCAGGTGCATCAAGCACTGTTCCCGCCACCCCACCCACCTGGCTGTCAGGTGCATCAAGCACTGTACTGCCACCCCACCCACCTGGCTGTCAGGTGCATCAAGCACCTCACTGTCCCTGCCACCCACCTGGCTGTCAGGTGCATCAAGCACTGTACTGTCACCCCACCCCACCCACCTGGCTGTCAGGTGCATCAAGCACTGTACTGTCCCCTCAACCCACCTGGCTGTCAGGTGCATCAAGCACTGTACTGTCACCCCACCCACCTGGCAGTCAGGTGCATCAAGCACTGGACTGTCACCCCACCCACCTTGCTGTCAGGTGCATCAAGCACTTCACTGTCCCCTCCACCACCTGGTAGTCAGGTGCATCAAGCACTGCAATGACCCCTCCACCCACCTGGCTGTCAGGTGCATCAAGCATTGTACTGTCACCCCACCCACCTGGCTGTCAGGTGCATCAAGCACTGCACTGTCACCCCACCCACTTGGCTGTCAGGTGCATCAAGCACTGTACTGTCACCCCACCCACCTGGCAGTCAGGTGCATCAAGCACTGCACTGTCCCCTCCACCCACCTGGCTGTCAGGTGCATCAAGCATTGTACTGTCACCCCACCCACCTGGCTGTCAGGTGCATCAAGCATTGTACTGTCACCCCACCCACTTGGCTGTCAGGTGCATCAAGCACTGTACTGTCACCCCACCCCACCCACCTGGCTGTCAGGTGCATCAAGCACTGCACTGTCACCTCCACCCCACCCACCTGGCTGTCAGGTGCATCAAGCACTGCACTGTTCCCGCCACCCCACCCACCTGGCTGTCAGGTGCATCAAGCACTGCACTGTCACCTCCACCCCACCCACCTGGCAGTCAGGTGCATCAAGCACTGCACTGTTCCCGCCACCCCACCCACCTGGCTGTCAGGTGCATCAAGCACTGCACTGTCCCCTCCACCCCACCCACCTGGCAGTCAGGTGCATCAAGCACTGTAGTGTTCCTTCCAGAGAGGCCAGGTTGTAGAAATGGGGAGCATCTGTCACATTCAGTCGCAGCAGCAGCTTCTTGGCAAGGTCGCCTCGCATCTGGTACATCTTCAAGCTGTGGGTCATGACGTGAAACTTATGTTCCTGCTAGTGCAACCACAACATCTAATAGTTTCATCAATGTTTTGAAAGTATCATATAAAACTGTTGTACTGACACAAAACCTCAACAGGATGTTTTCCATGTGATGATATACAATAGGTGAAACTGTGGATTGGAAAATAAAACAAAACACATGTATTCTGAAGTAATCACACTTATTTTAAAATATGCTTGTATTTTTTCTTCGGAATACACAAATTCAAAATCAGTAAAGTCAGTAAAGCAACACGTATAACCCAAGATGACATGAAGATTTGTTGATGATGCCTTCACTATTACTACTCTATGTTGGTTGGTTGGTTTGTTGTTTTACGCCGCACTCAGCAATATTCCAGCTATATGAAGGCGGTCTGTAAATCATCGAGTCTGGACCAGACAATCCAGTGATTAATATCATGAGCAGCGAGCCTAACCACCCGATCCCGTTAATCGCCTTCTACGACAAGCATAGTCGCCTTTTACGGCAAACATGGGTTGCTGAAGACCTATTCTACCCCGGATCTTCACTACTACTACTCTATGTACAGTATGGCTCAGTGCCTCACCTCTTGCAGAGCTGGTAGGGCAGCTGGCTGTTGAAAGTGGCTATGAAGTGAAGCAGCTGTCGGTCCAGGGACCTGAAACAGGAGCATGTTGCCTTGCAGGAGAACCCAGCTACATCTATGAGGAAAAACTTGTCCTCGCGTAGGTACGCAAAAGTTTTACAAACATTTTGCGGAAATTTTGCTCAACAAAATGAAAGACTTTTGTGTTGTAGTGTACCTCTTAAACATAACATCGTCCAATATATGACGTCATCAAGTTGTGAGCACATGTTAGAATCTCCTAAATGAGTGAGTGAGTGAGTGAGTGAGTATGGTTTAACGTCGCTTTTAGCAATATTCCAGCAATATCACGGAGGGGGACACCAGAAATGGGCTTCACACATTGTACCCATGTCGGGAATCGAACCCGGGTCTTCGGCGTGACGAGCAAACGCTTTACCCACTAGGCTACCCGACCGCCCCTTCCAGAAATGAAGTCATGACAGAACAATGTTTTACCGTGAAATAAACCAATCTTCGTTCTTCCTTGTTCTTTGCGATTTATCGCGTAGCTATCTTTCATAAAGCAATATATAGGTGAAGAGAAAAGAAATACACTTGAACCAGTGCGTATAAAGCATACAGAAATTGACATCCATCTATCGTGAATCTCTACCTAGCAGTGTCAGTCAATGTTTTGAAACAATACCACTGATTGGGTTGTAGGCAGGAATTATCATTTCAAGTGTTGGTCAGTATCAACACTTTGTCACCGACAGCTAAGGACCACAATTTGGCCTAAAATGAATCAAGTTGTGTTAAGAAAGCCCACTGGGACCAGCACAAGAGTGAAGTCTTTGAAAGGCATTTAGAATAGTTACACATAAGGAAGAGAATATATGGGCATCATTTTCTATATTATGAGGAACACTTAATATGCTTAATCCTTTATCAGGTGAATGAATGCTATGAGGCAGAGAACATATTTAAGTACCTGTACGAACAACAAAACTAACAAGATAAAAAAAGGTGGGAACTCAACAAGGGAAGCTAACAGTTAATTGGCGCCGATAGGTGATTAGGAATAGACAATGGAAGACAGCACTTTACAGTAATTGGCGCTGAGAGTTATGGACAACTGGAAGCCAGGACTAAATTATCCCTGACAGATTAATGGCAATGGACAATGGGCAAACGGGAGGCCGGGGGTAAGTAGCACTTATAGGTGCTAATAGGTGCTAATTTGCTTTCCAAGAATGGATAGCAAAGTCAGCCAAGGAAACGAAGACTTGACATTCTTCTGGCCAGGGAGCATCTTACTGATTTCAACAACCCTGGAGATAGTGACGAAACATCGCAACCTGTAGATAGAGGCCAACACAGTTCATTGTTTTGCTGACACATGTGGCATCATATTCACGTCTAACTACCTGGTGTCACAGGTGCAATAGCAATGATTGGTGTGTGTGTCACAGTCAGATATATTTATTACCTTTTGACAGTAACATTGCTGTCAACTTGGTTGTCTCCCATGTCTGTCCCACCTGACCTGTTCAGCAGACCAATCAGGGGCCCTGTTGAATCGTACAGCTTGTCTGCAAGCCATGGTAGCATGTCAGCTGATGCCTGATTGGGCAGTTTGAGGATGATGCTGGCAAACTTGAGGACCTCAAGCAGCAGACTCTCATCAGCAGCAGACGTCGGCATCACCTGGACAAACCTGCAGCAAACAGTGAGTGGTTATTAATGACATGGAACTTAGGGTTTGCAGGTCATTATATAGATATTGGCATAATGGACCCCTTTACAGACCTTATTCAAGAGATATTGAAATTAACACGTTTATTATTGGTTAAATTTACTAAACAAAAGAAATATGTTTATTTCACGCTGCACTAGTCAATAATCCAGCTATATGACAGAGCCCTGTAAATTAAGTCTGGACAAGACAATCCAGTGATTGATATTGTGAGCAACGATGACATGCAATAAACCAAGCTACTGAGCCTGGGGACAATGATAAGTAGGTCAATGATGTAGAACGGCTGTCACGACAAACAAAATGAAATGATGCAGTATTTGTTTAAGTGAAGGGACAAGGAGTGTATGAAATATCAACAAATACAATGAAGTTTTGTAAGACTTTGGAGTTCTTCTGGTATTTCCCTGATGTTGCAGCACAGGGCTCTGTTGTTCTCCTAGTCCTGTCTACAGAACTCACCTCCCCAAGATTGTGAACCAGTCCTTACTGGGCAGCAGGTCACTGGAGTGGAGACTCCGGATGTTGATGATGAAGCTGGCGAGGCGAGTAAGGGCAGCCTCCACAGCACTGTGGGATGTAGCGTTGCTGATGCCGTACACGCCCTGCTGGAATCCCCAGCGGAAATCTGTCACCTCCAGCACTCGCTTCAGGACAGCTGACAACTGCAACTTGCTGGAAAAGCTATAAGTAAAGAATACTTGCATCAATATCAGTGTTTTACATGACATCAGTCAAGTGTTACCACAGAGTGTCTTTATTTTTATCACGATATGCTGTACATGATTTCCAAACTTTACACACTAATCCTGCATGAGACAAATGGTGCATCTCGATGGTTCACACAACAGACCAGAACGTTCGTTTGTGCATCGAAACAAGCTTGAATATGAGTAATGTTTGTTTGTTTTGCATGTTTATTTGTTGTCTAGCTCCTCAATATTTCAGCTACGTAATGACAGAATGTAAATAAAGAATTCTGGACCAAACAATCCAGTGACTGATAGATATTATGACAACAATCCACAGTGCCAGTGTATGACAAACACTATCAATCTAGCCTAACCACCAGGGACCCGTGAAGATCCTGGGGGGGGGGAATAGGTCTTCAGCAACCCATGCTTGCATCAAAAGGCAACAGCACTTGTTGTATAAGGCGATTAACTAGGCGGGTGGTCAGGCTCGCTGACTGCATGTCAGCGTATCCCAATTGCGTGGATCAATGCTCATGATTTCAATCACTGGATTGTCTGGTCAGACTGCTATCATATTAACACAACAAACAAACCAACAAAAACTAACCACAAGGGCCCAATTTCACAAAGACATTGTAGCACTATCGTAACTTCCATAGCTTAAAACTGACTTACAACAGTTGTAGCAATACACTCCATTTGTAAAACAGGGAGCCAATACATTATGTTACCTCTTGCAACCAGCAAAGGTTGCTGAGGACCAATTCTAACCCTCAACACCTATAGATTATAAAACATGACGTGGCTGTCGGTACATACAGTTCCTTGGTGTCTCCATCTTGTTTCTCCATCTTGACCAGACTGAGAAGTCCCTCCATGCCACCATTCCACGCCACGTTCCAGGCAACACACAGCTTCTCCAGGGCGGGGCCACACTGCAGCGGGTCGTCAGCAGGGGGAATAACTACACAATGCGGACTGACTTCGTGATGGACAGCAGAGCGAAATGGTAGTCGGTACCTCTTGGTGATGACAGAAGGCAAAGTGAAGGCCATTCCAAGCTTCCCTCCTTTAGAAGTGCTGCAATTGTCATTGTGTGTTTGCTGTAGAACTATCTCAATAGCATCTTCCCTAGGCAAGTGCGTTAACTGACTATAAAAGTCCAATTTCCACCCTTGCCGAACTAGGCTAGAATTATGGTGTTACATTTTGGCTGGACTAACGAGTCTATGCATAGTCCAATCAAAATTATGTAACAAACTAGACATCCGAGTTTCGAAAACAAAATGGATTTCAACATGCTGATTTCAATCGACTGCAGGGTTTGAAAAACATGTGTACTGTCAACTTGGTTTCGACAGATAATTTCCAAATCTTTTCATGTTTTTAATCAAGGTGCTCAAGTGATTTGATGCACTTTGCAGGTAAGAACCGTTTTAATACAATATATGAATTTGATCATCTGATCGTCTTGACTGGACGCTGCCATTTTGTTTGAAGCAAATGCGAGTGACATGTGAGATGGATTCTGGTTGGTCAACAGCGGGGACATAGAACTCATAATATTCACTGGTGGCGCTATGAACGAGCCCAGAAATTCCAGCTAGTTTGGCAAGGGTGGAAACTGGACTTTTATAGTCAGTTAATGCCCTTGTCTCGGGAAGATGTGTGAATAGATATGCTCGGTACAATACAACAATAGGGAACAGAGTGTTTCACAATATGCTGAAAGTTTTTGGCTACGTTGCTTCTGAATGATGCTGTAGCTGACACGAAGCTGGAAGGTAAATCCTTTTTTTTATATTAAAACGTTTGCTGTTCACACATAAAAAAATGCTTTGGTTAATAAATAGGCAAAAAGCAAAACACTGTTCTTAAATTCAATCGTTCACATTCATGACATGTGAGTTGTCATGAGAAAGAACCAAGGTATTAAAAGAAAATGCCTAATTACATAAACCTTCAAGGAATAATTTGAACAAAACTGCACCTGGGTCAAGGCAATTTAAATGTGATAGACCAGGCAGTGATTCATTAAGGAGTCAATGGAAGGAGAAATTCTAGTTTAATGGCACATTTTTACATTCAAAGGAATTAAAAGCTTGATCTGAATTATAGTTGACTTTTCTAAGTAGTTTGGGAACAGTTCTACTCACAGAGACCATAACAAGTTCACTAGCAAGGACATTAGTGAACACTGGATATATATCTATCTGCAAGTTATGACCGACTGACACAATACCCATCTTACTGATGCAAGGGAGTTAACTGACTATAAAAGTCCAGTTTCCACCCTTGCCGAACTTGGCTGGAATTTCTGTGCTCGATCATGGCGGCACCAGTGGCTATTATGAGTTATGTCCCATCTACGTCCCTCCTATAGACCAAACACATTCCACCTCTCATAGCACTTGCATTTGCTTCACACAAAATGACAGCTCCTAGTCAAGACAATCAGATCGATAATCAAGATCAGTATTGTTAAAAAAAAAACGGGTCATACTTCGCGAAGTGCATCAAATCATGTGAGCACCTTGATTAAAAACATGAAAGGATTCAGAAACTATTTGTTGACAATAAGTTGACGGTACACATGCTGTACAAATCCTGCAATTCACCAAAATCTGCATGGCAGTTGGCGAACCGTATGTCGATTTCCTTCAGCAATTTTGATTGGACTATGAATAGACTTGTTCGTCTAGCCATAATAACTCCCTAATTCCTGCCTAGTTCGGCAAGGGTGAGTTAGTTAACTCCCTTGCCTTGGGAAGATGCACAAACCATGTGAGGCAAGTTGACCATTATAATAAGACCAACCTGACATCAAACTTGGCCACCTCATCATGCAGCAGCAGTGTAAGAACATGGGACACCTCGTAACACACCTTCTCATCCTTCTGGAACATCAGGGCAACTGCAACAACAAACAGAGAAGTCTAGGATAGGTGACAGCTGTAGGGTGAAGTCTAGGACAGGTGACAGCTGTAGGGTGAAGTCTAGAACAGGTGACAGCTGTAGGGTGAAGTCTAGGACAGGTGACAGCTGTAGGGTGAAGTCTAGGACAGGTAGCTGTAGGGTGAAGTCTAGGATAGGTGACAGCTGTAGGGTGAAGTCTAGGACAGGTAGCTGTAGGGTGAAGTCTAGGACAGGTAGCTGTAGGGTGAAGTCTAGGATAGGTGACAGCTGTAGGGTGAAGTCTAGAACAGGTGACAGCTGTAGGGTGAAGTCTAGGACAGGTGACAGCTGTAGGGTGAAGTCTAGGACAGGTAGCTGTAGGGTGAAGTCTAGGACAGGTGACAGCTGTAGGGTGAAGTCTAGGACAGGTAGCTGTAGGGTGAAGTCTAGGACAGGTGACAGCTGTAGGGTGAAGTCTAGGACAGGTAGCTGTAGGGTGAAGTCTAGGACAGGTAGCTGTAGGGTGAAGTCTAGGATAGGTGACAGCTGTAGGGTGAAGTCTAGGACAGGTGACAGCTGTAGGGTGAAGTCTAGGACAGGTGACAGCTGTAGGGTGAAGTCTAGGACAGGTAGCTGTAGGGTGAAGTCTAGGACAGGTGACAGCTGTAGGGTGAAGTCTAGGACAGGTAGCTGTAGGGTGAAGTCTAGGACAGGTAGCTGTAGGGTGAAGTCTAGGATAGGTGACAGCTGTAGGGTGAAGTCTAGAACAGGTGACAGCTGTAGGGTGAAGTCTAGGACAGGTGACAGCTGTAGGGTGAAGTCTAGGACAGGTAGCTGTAGGGTGAAGTCTAGGACAGGTGACAGCTGTAGGGTGAAGTCTAGGACAGGTGACAGCTGTAGGGTGAAGTCTAGGACAGGTAGCTGTAGGGTGAAGTCTAGGACAGGTGACAGCTGTAGGGTGAAGTCTAGGACAGGTGACAGCTGTAGGGTGAAGTCTAGGACAGGTAGCTGTAGGGTGAAGTCTAGGACAGGTAGCTGTAGGGTGAAGTCTAGGACAGGTAGCTGTAGGGTGAAGTCTAGGACAGGTGACAGCTGTAGGGTGAAGTCTAGAACAGGTGACAGCTGTAGGGTGAAGTCTAGGACAGGTGACAGCTGTAGGGTGAAGTCTAGGACAGGTAGCTGTAGGGTGAAGTCTAGGACAGGTGACAGCTGTAGGGTGAAGTCTAGGACAGGTAGCTGTAGGGTGAAGTCTAGGACAGGTAGCTGTAGGGTGAAGTCTAGGATAGGTGACAGCTGTAGGGTGAAGTCTAGGACAGGTGACAGCTGTAGGGTGAAGTCTAGGATAGGTTACAGCTGTAGGGTGAAGTCTAGGATAGGTGACAGCTGTAGGGTGAAGTCTAGGACAGGTGACAGCTGATGGTTGAAGTCTAGAACAGGTGACAGCTGTAAGGTGAAGTCTAGAACAGGTGACAGCTGTAGGGTGAAGTCTAGAACAAGTGACAGCTGTAGGGTGAAGTCTAGAACAGGTGACCGCTGTTGGGTAAAGTCTAGGACAGGTAACAGCTGTAGAGAGAAGACTACAACCAATAGCAGCTATAGAAAGAAGTCTATGATAGGTAACAGCTGAAGAGTGAAGGCTATGACAGATAACAGCTGTAGGGTAAAGTCTAGGACAACAGCTGTAGGGTGAAGTCTATGACATATATCAGCTTAATGCAGTGTCAATGACAAGTCGTCTACTCACCTCTCACTAGACAGTAGTAGATCTGAGAATCATGGGCCAGGTTGTGCCTAAGGGTGTAGTCGTGATGGAGGAGGTGGCGTAGGATCGTCACACATGCTGACAGGTAGGGAATGTTCACATTCTAAAATAAATGAAAAGTTCTACTTGAAACTGGGAAAAGGAAAAGAAGATTTTAAAAAAACAGACTGAAGAATTGCTTAAAGGTTTTTAAAACAAGTTAGTTATTGACAGATTATTTTTAAATCACTATTCATTAGCATAACAGGCAACTAACTACGGTATTATAGTACCTTATATACAAATGATCAAGTGATGTCATGTATCAAAACAACAAAGTCTGATAAGGAATCTGGAATTAGCCTCAAAGTTAGCTATATCAAGGTTAACTGTCACATGTTCTCAGGACTTGACTCAAACCACAGCAAACATAATGGCCACCTAGTTCTAAAATGTTTGTATCATATGATTTAAATGAACCCAACTGCGAGAAAGATAATGCTTACTAGCACAATCTCTGTATACTGGTACTTTCTGTATATAATCTCTGTATACTGGTACTCTCTGTATATACTCTCTGTATATACTGGTACTCTGTATATACTCTCTGTATACCCATATACTGTCTTTTGCACATATCTTAACTGTGTTATTATATAACACTTACCATGTAAAATATTTTGTGCGAGGGCTACGTAACTTGTGAAAATTGTGCGTAATCCTTTTCCTTGCAAATACAGTATTTCTAAATCAAAACTACTTGTACATGTTACTATTCATTTTTAAAAATAGTAAAATATATATAGCTGAAGGTACAGCAGGCCATCATTCAACCAGAAGCTACTCTTAAAGCCAGTACTGTCTACATGATCCAGATAACGCAGCACAAAGCAATTCCATAAATGAATTTAACACCTAAAGTATTCATCTTCAAGCATGTATTTCAATGTCCTGTTGGCTGATGTCAGAAGACAATACACAAGCAGCCACACAGATCATCCTAGCAAGACCCAAGTGTACAAAATCAACTGGAAAACTATTAACTGATTCATTTTTACTTCTGAAAACATAATTGTTCTTAATCAGTGTTCGAAATTAAGCTTGATTGTGGGGTCCTTGAATTCTTCTCCAATGGTATGTGTATCTAGGGAACTCAAAATATTTCACTTATAATATAAGGGCAATGAGAAGGATTATGGGACGTTCATGTTAGATTGAGAACACTGTTATTCATGTTAAAATAGGGGACAGGAAAACACTTCAGACATTCAGTCTAGTTAACTAGCTACACTCCACAGCAAGAAGACTCCAAACCAGTCAAGGAAAAGGGTGGTGAGAGACAGGGGTAACATCATAGCCTGCATGGCATGGCTGTCCACCAGGTAACTCAGCCTGGCAAGTTCGTGATTGCTGTATGTTTAAGGCTGCTAGCTCCAACTCGGCTAGGTCAGAACCAATAGCTGGTCCTCATTTGATATTCTGATATCAAATATCTGATTCTGATTGATATTGAGACTGACCATTTGATATTCTGTCGGGTTATGGGGGGTTGGTGGGTATTTTGTATCGAGATTAAATACTGTATCAGCTACAGCTAAAAAAGACATATTGTATTATGAACCATGTGTCTGAATTTCTTTTAAAGAAAAACACCTAGCAACAATGTAATCTTTGTGGCAGGCAATTCTTTTCTTTTTTCAACAGTCTGAAGCATATTATTTTTTTCAAGAACTTTTGATTTTTTTAAAAATCCCAGGCCCCCCCCCCCTCCAGAATATCAAATGGTTGTTACCTCACACCTAGCATCCTTACAACTAGCATCATTTTCAACGACCCATTTATGTCATACAGCTTAGATATTGCTGACTGCAGCATAAAATAACATATGCTTGTTCATTGCATCATTACGTCTCTACAAGATCATTTGTTGCCATGGGAACCTGGAAGTAGATGTGTGGTTTGTCTACGTTGCAGGTCTGCAGCTGCCGGAGGATGAGGAAGTCGTCGGTGTGGTACTGGGGGTACAGGCGGGGCAGGGGCACGCTGGCCAGTTTGCCACAGTGGACTTGGAAGCAAGATACACACTGCCATGGTGACCACACTGTCAGCATCTTGTCTCAAGGCCACCGAGAAAGCTGGACTCAGGTCAGCTTATTAACTATTGTTTCCTCTTGTGAGGAGAAGACCCTGCATGAATCGCATATTTCATCACACCATCCTGCCTGCCTCAACTAATCATGCAATGTATAATCTCTGTGTAATGTGGCCTGAAGTAAGTCTGCATACCTGTGTTGTAGGGCCCTGCCTCGTGATATAACTCAATCCCATAAAAACCCCTGCCTCGTGATATGACCCCTTACTCATAATATGACCCAATCTCACATGACCCCCTGGTGTCACATGACCTTAATCTGATATTACTCTTGTTATATGACAGTCCCACATTATATGACCCTGTCTCATGTAAAATGACCCTGCCTCATATGACCCACTGGTCTCAAGACATACTGTCTTATATCCCCACTCCTCTCATACATGACCCTACAATATATGACTCTATTTCATATGAGATGACACCTCACCCACACACCTGCCTCACATGACCCTTGTGTTTCTATACCTACCTGAGCGTCCACCTGGGGCTGCTTCGCCACGCCCGTCCTCACCAGGTCCAGCACCGCCTCCAGGCCTCCCTCCTGCCGGAATGTGGTGTGCAGGTTCTGGTCTGAAGGTAGGACACAGACTCATGTCAGACACACAGACACAGCCAACTGCAGCAATATGAACATCAGCTGCAGAGCCATGAACATCAGCTGCAGAGCCATGAACATCAACTACAGCAACATGAACATCAACTGCAGCAACATGAACATCAACTGCAGCAGCATGAACATCAACTACAGCAACACGAACATCAGCAGCAGCAACATAAACATCAACAACAGCAACATGAACATCAGCAGCAGCAACATAAACATCAGCAACAGCAACATGAACATAAACTGCAACAACATGAACACAACTACAGCAGCATGAACATCAACTTCATGAACATCAGCTGCAGTAACATGAATGTCAACTACAGCAACATGAACATCACCTGGAACAACATGGACATCAACTACAGCAGCATAAAGCATCAACTACAGCATCAACTACAACAACATGAACATCAACTACAGCAACATAAACATCAGCTGCAGCAACATGAATGTCAGCTACAGCAACATGAACATCAACTACTGCAGCATAAAGCATCAACTACAGCAGCATGGACATCAACTACAGCAACATGAACATCGCCTAGAACAACATGAACATCAACTACAGCAGCATGAACACCAGCTGCAGCTACATTCATATCCATCATTATCGTGTTACAATTTGCAGTATCTTACCTTGAAGCATGACAGCCAGCTGATCTACAGCTGATTTCTTAACCCCAGGGTCAACTGGTTTGGAGGAGAAGATACCATACACCTGGTGGAGGTCGCTCACCTGGGGGCAACGAGGACAAGAGGATATGGAATAAATATCTGATAATAAAGGTGAACTTCAGAACTGGCACATAGCTAGCATTACACTGTTCACAGGGAAGGGACTAAAGGCTCCAACTGACTGAGGACCTCACCTGGAAGATGGATCTGCCGGGGTCAGTGTCCAGGGATCTTGGGGTCTCGGTTATGAACACGTTGGCGAGGTTGGAGACATCTAGTTCGGAGAATGTAGGGATCTTGTTACAGCTGTCGGTCTCGTTGGAGAGGAACCACGCCAGCTGCCGCAGAGACTCCGCCCTCAGTCTGGTGGGAAGAAATATTAAACATATACAACATACATTGTCAAGATTATATATACCACCATATACAACATACACACACTGTCAAGATAATATATACCACCATATACAACATACACACACTGTCAAGATTATATATACCACCATATACAGCATACACACATTGTCAAGACCATATATACCACAATATACAACATACACACATTGTCAAGATTACACATGCCACCATATACAACATACACACACTGTCAAGATTAATCTGTAACTGAAACTTGGTCCATAACATGAGAACATTCAGTTGTTAGTTAAGTCTTGAACAAGGACAAAGTTTTCAGTAGAAATGTAGGTGAAATTGTCAGTTACCCACTTACATTAACTGCTTCAGGCTACCCAATATGGTGCCACTTTATGATACTTGTCTTCAAAATGATATATAGGATATCTTAAGACAAGAATTATTTCCAGTGATCATCTTCGTATCCGATGATGGTTATACTCTGGATTGTCAAAGTCGGAACACTGTTAACTTCCATTGCTTTTTATGTCAGGTAAGCTTCAAAGCAATATTTGGGGGTAGGAAAGATTATTCAGCTATTGTCAAGTGTCAGTTATTTGCAATGGCCTCATTTGTTACATATGCAAGCACCCTCCTAGTAATGTCTCAAACTTACTTCATGTCAGCAGAGAACATGTGTCGCAGTGTGCCTCGGAACTTCTCCATCAGAGGCAGATTATCGGCTGTAGAGACTGGGTCCAGCATCGTCTTCAACCTCTTCCCCAGCACAGTGCTGCTGTCAGCATACGACTACAACAAGAACATCCTCATTAACACCTTTAACAAATGCATCAACATCCTCACCAACACCTTTAACAACTCCTGCATCAACATTCTCTCCAACACCCCCTCCAACACCCTCACCAACAACCTCACCAAAACCTTCACCAACAACCTCATCAACACATTCACCAACACCCTCATCAACACCCTCACCAACACCCTCATCAACACCCTCATCAACACCTTCACCAACAACCTCATCAACACATTCACCAACTACCTCATCAACACATTCACCAACACCTTCACCAACACCCTCATCAACACCTTCACCAACACCCTCCTCAACACATTCACCAACACCTTCACCAACACCCTCATCAACACCTTCATCAACACCTTCACCAACACCCTCATCAACACATTCACCAACACCTTCACCAACACCCTCATCAACACCTTCACCAACACCCTCATCAACACCTTCACCAACACCTTCACCAACACCCTCACCAACACCTTCACCAACACCCTCATCAACACCTTCACCAACACCCTCATCAACACCTTCACCAACACCCTCATCAACACATTCACCAACACCTTCACCAACACCCTCACCAACACCTTCACCAACACCCTCATCAACACCTTCACCAACACCCTCATCAACACCCTCACCAACACCCTCATCAACACCTTCACCAACACCTTCACCAACACCCTCACCAACACCTTCACCAACACCCTCATCAACACCTTCACCAACACCCTCATCAACACCTTCACCAACACCCTCATCAACACATTCACCAACACCCTCACCAACACCCTCATCAACACCTTCACCAACACCCTCATCAACACATTCACCAACAACCTCACCAACACCTTCACCAACAACCTCATCAACACATTCACCAACACCCTCATCAACACCTTCAACAACACCCTCACAAACACCTTTAACAACTCCTGCATCAACATTCTCACCAACACCCTCACCAACACCCTTATCAACATCCTCTCCAACACCTTCACCAACACCTTCACCAACACCCTCATCAACACCTTCACCAACACCCTCATCAACACATTCACCAACACCCTCATCAACACCCTCACCAACACCCTCACCAACACCCTCATCAACACCTTCACCAACACCCTAGCAACACATTCACCAACAACCTCACCAACACCTTCACCAACAACCTCCTCAACACATTCACCAACACCCTCATCAACACCTTCAACAACACCCTCACAAACACCTTTAACAACTCCTGCATCAACATTCTCACCAACACCCTCACCAACACCCTTATCAACATCCTCTCCAACACACTCACCAACACCTTCACCAACACCCTCATCAACACCTTCACCAACACCCTCATCAACACATTCACCAACACATTCACCAACACCTTCACCAACACCTTCACCAACACCCTCATCAACACATTCACCAACACCTTCACCAACACCTTCACCAACACCCTCATCAACACATTCACCAACACCTTCACCAACACCTTCACCAACAACTTCACCAACACCCTCATCAACACCTTCAACAACCCCGTCAACAACACCATCACCAACACCTTCAACAACCCCGTCAACAACACCATCACCAACACCTGTAAGACACGTGGCCCAGTGTCACAGCTGCCACAATTAGCTGTGCTGAGTTGTGTCCCTTAGGTGTGTGTTTGACTCCCAGATTTGCCCTGATGAATATTCTTGGTTTCTCAGCACCATATCAGTGCTTGTGTTTTTCACCAAACAGAGTTGCATCACTTAAGCTTACCTCCGAACACTTGCTGACCCATTGTGATATAACTGAAATTCTGCAAATATGGCTTGGCTGATGTACAGCCTAGTCTTCCACCAATACGAAAGGAGAAGTAACAAGTAGTGGCATTCCAGTCATGGCAGGAAGGTGAGTTAATGTTGTCGATGCTGGAGACTCAGGTTACCTGGAGTATTGGCTGGGACTTGGTGAGAGCAGTGGTGAGTTCCTGCCACAGGGAGTCTGTCATCAGTAGCTGACCTTGTAGCAAGGTCAAGGTCAGGTCTGCAGCAGCGGTGGCAACCTATAGATATAAAACACACAGTGCCCCATAAACAGTGATATCTGACAGTGTCCTGACATTATCTTTGATAACAATATGCAGAACATTCAATATCTCTATTCGATAGTGCAACATCTAACAGCCATGATTCCGAACAATTTAATAAGGCCACACAGACATAGAACTGGCTTGCATTGACACAGGTATAAACCAGTGTTGTATTGACACTGGCATACAGATCAACCAAATATTTTCTTCTGATTTGAAAAGAAAAACAAGGCTGTAACTACATACCTGAGGGTCAGAGTCAGCTAAACCAAAGCAGATGATTTCATACAAGACATCATGGTCAAAGAGGAACTTGACACGGAGACATGTGCGAGACTTGGGGTCAGCAGCCTGGTTCACATTCAGTGACATCTGTAACATGGGACAAAAGGATACAACTACTGAGAGAAAACTCCATCAGTGAGTCCAATGGGACAACATGATAACCGGGATTTTTTACCATTTTCAAATAATGTTAACAAATGAACACCGTATTCGAAGTAATAAGCGTCCCGGGTGCTCTCAAAATTAGAAATAGGGGGCCCTTATTAGAATATTATTTTGGTGAAAAAAAACAGAGTTGAAATGTAAATTTCATGGTTTATGCTGAGAGCCTGAAATGATACAAAAGAAAAGTCTGTGCGTATTATACACTACAGATATATTTTTCCAGAATTTAATTGCCCATAATTAAGGATGAATATAACACGAGTGCATATTATACACGAATAAATAAGTCTTGTGTACATTGATCAATCGGAAGGGTGCTAATTGGGATTGTTCACTAGTCAATATATTAGCAAATATCACCGCAGGCTCTTATTAGAGTAGGGTGCTTATTACATCGAATACGGTAGTTTCTTTTGGACAAATATCTATATTATGTCCGTTAAATAATTGCTCGCATTGTAATCTGTATTGTCTTTTTGAATAGTGTTTTGGAATGTACATCACACAATTTACAACGTTATTTCAACATAGTTTTATACTAATACTCATCCCATGATACCACTATCAGACCAGTTACGTGGGCATGTCGTACCTGTACTGTACTGAGCACGGCCTTGTAGGTCTGTTGCCGGACCAGTGGCAGAGGGTAGGCCAGGATCCTCAGCAGGCATCTCTGGCACCGGGCGACGGTCGACTTCTCCGTCGCTGTCTTGTACCGACTGACAGGAGAAACAGAACAAGGTCATGGTGGAACATTTGACATGTGGCATGGTATGCATGTAATCTAGAGTTTGCAGTGAAACTTATAACCAAGATCTTAGAGTTTACTTCAATCTCTTTAAAATCAGATTTTAATTTTCACTACCGCTAAACAAAGATCTGAGGACATCCCAATATGGGTCATGTCAGGACAACTTTTCGCGAAGTTTGACAGACCAAAGAAATGACTAACAAAAAGTCGACATTAGCCAATCAGAATGCAACCTTCTTGAGAGTTACAGAACTCAATTCAAACTGGCGACTTCCATTCCAGACTATGCAGCTATATGTAAAGTTTTAAAACTGAACAAAATAAAATTCTGTAATGTCTAATTGATGGCCGAGATTGTTTGCAATAGTTCCCTATAGAAAGTTCCTTCCATTTCAAATGTTTATCCTACTGAAGAGAGAGATAGACTCTGATTATGACGGAATCAGTCATTTGGAATACCCTGTGTTAACCTTTTTGAAGTTGCAAGATAACAATACACATTCTGACAGTCACTTTCCCAAAGTGGTAAGCAACATTCTGATTGGTCGGATGAAAGGTCATTCTGACGTGACCCGGTATGGGATGTCCTCAGATCATTGTTTAGCAGTAACAAGAACTAAGATCTGATCTTAATGAGACTTAGATAACTTCTCTATCACAGTCGTGTTGTGACTCTCAGGGTTAAGCTGTATAATATATAGCAACAAGGTGACACAGTTGATTATTTGACGTTGAAAAGACGAACCTTGCTAAGTTACATATTGTGATAAAGTGAGAAGAAAAAATGGTGGACAAAAGTTGATAGGTTGGCAGGTTGATAGAAAGGGTTCAAACCCAACTGGTGACGAAAAGCTTTGATCATCGAAATACAACACAAATGGATTTATGAACATCATAACATCGGCATTTCATTCAGTTTTTGTATGCTCCCGCTATGGCTTTTTAGGGTGCATCTTACATGTTGGAGAAGAACTTGATGAAGTCTGTGACCAAGGGAATGTGCACATGGTAGGGTAGGCTGGGGAAAGCTTCCTCCATCTGTGTGGAGAGTTCCTCAGGGGAGGTAACCTGTGATAGATTAAAGCCTGTCACATGTCTGCACAAAAGATTCATTACTATCAATAAGAACTCATGTGACAAGATGTTTCATTTCATAGATGATAAGGGGGTTGATATTCAACCTAAGAATTAAAGTAACAATATTCAATGGCATTTATTCAGTCACTATTCGGAAATATTTCATTTGGTGTAATATGACAATGCCCAAGATATTGTTTCAACACAATAGAAAAAGATATTTGAGCATAGGAGAAATTTCTGAAATCATCGTTATGGTTTTCATTAAAAACTGATAAGGATGAAAATCAAAATCCAACTACGCACTCCTTGTTTAAATCCGGTGATGAACCTGCACGAGTGACCCATTGACTTGCAGATGTTCACTGCATCACGATATCGCTGGTGGACGGACGGGTCCAGCTGCTGAACCAGTCTCAGGAGGGCGCTGTGTGTGGCGGGGTAGGCCAGAAAGAGGCTCTCATCAAACACCAATACAGTCAGGGCAGACACAAGGCTGTCAGGCAACAGGGGACACACCTACACAAACTCAAACACATCATTTCTAGGACCTTTTATTTCCCTCTTCTTGGAGCCAAGTTCTACCTGAAAATGCTTAGGAATCATTTGTGATGACTTATTGAATATTCTTGCAAGATACAGTGACAAGTGGAGAGAGGGGCCAATACACACGGGAGCAGATGGAGGGGTTTCTCATCTGTAGAGGTGGTGGACTTGCAAGATACAGTGACAAGAGAGAGGGGCCAATACACACGGGAGCAGATGGAGGGGTTTCTCATCTGTAGAGGTGGTGGACTTGCAAGATACAGTGACAAGAGAGAGGGGCCAATACACACGGGAGGAGATGGAGGGGTTTCTTATCTGTAGAGGTGGTGGACTTGCAAGATACAGTGACAAGTGGAGAGAGGGGCCAATACACACGGGAGGAGATGGAGGGGTTTCTCATCTGTAGAGGTGGTGGACTTGCAAGATACAGTGACAAGTGGAGAGAGGGGCTAATACACACGGGAGCAGATGGAGGGGTTCCTCATCTGTAGAGGTGGTGGACTTGCAAGATACAGTGACAAGTGGAGAGAGGGGCCAATACACACGGGAGCAGATGGAGGGGTTCCTCATCTGTAGAGGTGGTGGACTTGCAAGATACAGTGACAAGTGGAGAGAGGGGCCAATACACACGGGAGCAGATGGAGGGGTTCCTCATCTGTAGAGGTGGTGGACTTGCAAGATACAGTGACAAGTGGACAGAGGGGCCAATACACACGGGAGCAGATGGAGGGGCTTCTCATCTGTAGAGGTGGTGGACTTGCAAGATACAGTGACAAGTTCGGGAGAGGAGCCAATACACACGGGAGCAGATGGAGGGGGTCCTCATCTGTAGAGGTGGTGGACTTGTAAGATACAGTGACAAGTGGAGAGAGGAGCCAATACACACGGGAGGAGATGGAGGGTTTCTCATCTGTAGAGGTGGTGGACTTGCAAGATACAGTGACAAGTGGACAGAGGGGCCAATACACACGGGAGGAGATGGAGGGGTTTCTCATCTGTAGAGGTGGTGGACTTGCAAGATACAGTGACAAGTGGAGAGAGGGGCCAATACACACGGGAGCAGATGGAGGGGTTCCTCATCTGTAGAGGTGGTGGACTTGTAAGATACAGTGACAAGTGGAGAGAGGAGCCAATACACACGGGAGGAGATGGAGGGTTTCTCATCTGTAGAGGTGGTGGACTTGCAAGATACAGTGACAAGTGGAGAGAGGGGCCAATACACACGGGAGGAGATGGAGGGTTTCTCATCTGTAGAGGTGGTGGACTTGCAAGATACAGTGACAAGTGGACAGAGGGGCCAATACACACGGGAGCAGATGGAGGGGGTCCTCATCTGTAGAGGTGGTGGACTTGCAAGATACAGTGACAAGTGGAGAGAGGGGCCAATACACACGGGAGGAGATGGAGGGTTTCTCATCTGTAGAGGTGGTGGACTTGCAAGATACAGTGACAAGTGGACAGAGGGGCCAATACACACGGGAGGAGATGGAGGGGCTTCTCATCTGTAGAGATGGTGGACTTGCAAGATACAGTGACAAGTGGAGAGAGGGGCCAATACACACGGGAGCAGATGGAGGGGGTCCTCATCTGTAGAGGTGGTGGACTTGCAAGATATGGTGACAAGTTCGGGAGAGGGGCCAATACACACGGGAGGGGAGGAAGGATCTTGAGCGGGGCAGAAAGGTTGAGAGAGTGATTACACTGTCATTATATTTCACTGCCTCCGTGGTATAGTGGTAGAGTGTCTGCTCGGAGAGCCTAACGTCCTTTGGTTTGACCTCCGGCTGTGTCATACCGAAAGATGTTAAAAGATAGTACTTGTTGTTACCCTGTCTGGCACACACATTTGCTATGTAAGTACAATAATCTTGGATGTGACATTAAATCCTATTTCACCTCACCTCATTATATTTCCTCAAGACGATCACTTTCTGTCTTGCCCAAGAAAAAATCCCTCCCAAATTGGTAAATTGTTAGGGAACACCAAAGGAATCTCAGATTAGTCACATGGAATCTATTTTCCGCAAGTGATGAATATATACTGCAGTCTGCAATATTCAAGCTGTATTAGAATAGAATGGCCTGCAAATAGCAGAGTCTGAACAAGACAGTGACTGAATTCATCCACAACATCTTGAACAATGAACAATCTGCCATGTGACATCGCATGACACTTACTTGTAAAGGCAGAGGTAAATGGTGACCAGTTCGACCCCGGAACCCCCCCCATCATTACCGCCCTCCCTTCCTACATCTGTACTTACATTGCCTGGAGGCAGCAGTTGGAGCAGGTGACCAGTCCGACCCCGGAATATTCCCCCACATCGTTACCGCCCTCCCTTCCTACATCTGTACTTACATTGCCTGGAGGCAGCAGTTGGAGCAGGTGACCAGTCCGACCCCGGAACCCCCACATCATTACCGCCCTCCCTTCCTACATCTGTACTTACATTGCCTGGAGGCAGCAGTTGGAGCAGGTGACCAGTCCGACCCCGGAATCCCCACATCATTACAGCCCTCCCTTCCTACATTAGTACTTACATTGCCTGGAGGCAGCAGTTGGAGCAGGTGCACCAGGTAGTTACACACGCTGATGTACGCCAGTCTGTGCTGCGCCAGGTCACCGTGACCTACGTCCGGGACATTGTGGTGGCCGTGATGGTGGAAGGACAACAAATCGCCAATCACATCCAAGCAGTCTGTCAACTTCTCCACCTAAACATACAGGTAATCTATACAATGTGTTCAGATGATGTTGATTTAAATGCAAGGGAGTGCATTTTACAGATGAGTGGACAAGAACTTTGTTTTGTTTGTTTGTTGGACAAGAACTTTGTTTTGTTTGTTTGTTGTTAACATCGCACTCAGCAATATTTCAGCCATATGACAGCAGTCTGTAAAACATCTGGGACAGACAATCCAGTGATTGATATGAGCAGCGATCTACACAATCGGGATACAATGACATGCATCAACCAAGTCAGCGAGCCTGACCACCCGATCCCATTAGTCGCCTCTTACCACAAGCCTGGTATGGCAAGCATGGGTTGCTGAAGACCTATTCTAATCCAGATCTTCATGGTCACAATGATAATAGCTAAAGGAAAAGTTCTATAAAAGAGCATTTCTACCAATACCATTTACATAATTCAAGCGTCAGTCTCTGAATCCATACCACAATAAACACACACATGTGTAGATACATAACACAAGCAGTCTGACATTAGGGCAGACTGAGTCTCATTACATGTCTTTCAGTCCAGTAAGCGATGTTTAATCAACTCAAAATACATGATAGCTTCTGGCTAGTTGACACATGACTTTGGTCCAGATTAACCAACAGCCATGAAAAATGCAACCTCATTAAAATCAGATTGCCGCTAAAAAAAGATCTGAGGACATCCCGTCACGTCAGAACGACCTTTCGCGAACTTTGACCGATCACTGAAATGACCAACAAGAAGTCGACATCAGCCAATTAGAAAGCAGCTTCCTCGAGCTTTACGGCACTCATTTCAACCACGCGACTTCCATTTCAGACTACGCTTGAAAAATATGTTGACAAAGTTCTCGATTAAAATTTTGAAAACTGAACAAACGAATATTCCGGAATGTCTATTTATGGTTGAGATTGTATGGCAGTGCTTCCGAAGTACTGTGCAACGCCTCCTCCGTTCATATGTTTATCCCACGGAAGCGAGAGATAGACAATAATTTTGATGGAATCAGTCGTACGGGCCGTAACTGTCGTTCAGAATACCCCATGTGAACATTTTCGAGGTTGCATAATAAGAAAACACATTCTGACTGTCACTTTCATGATCTGGTAAGCGACGCTTTGATTGGTTGGATGAAAGGTTGTTCTGACGTGACCCGTAATGGGAAGTCCTCAGATCTTTGTTAAGCGATAGCGAGAACTAAGGTCTGATTTTAATGAGATTGTGAAAAATGGTACCCATGTAATATAGAACATTGCATGATCCAGACATACGCACCACTTCCATTGATGGCTGTGACGTCTCGCTCCACACATGCGATGTCACAACTTGTTGCAGCAGCTCTGATGCTGCATACAACAGCTGCATGCCCTGCACCACCGCAGCCTCATTCTGAGTGTGCAGTGCGGGCAGTGCCCTCTGCAGGGAGATGATGCAGAACTGGGGCAGAGTTATCTGATGGTACTGGAGGATGTGACTGTCATCAGCGTCAGTCTCCTCTCTCAGCTGACCTGTGTCAGGGTCAAGGCCAAGGCTAGATGCTCCGGACACAGTTCTAGGGATAAACAAAGACAAAACTAAAGGCCTCGTTTTTATTTGAGTAAGTTAAAAAGGAGCGAGTCGTGTTTGTAACCGCTTTGATTAATGACTCAGTTATAACATCAACCAAAATGACGCCCGTCAAGGAGATCTCCATTCTTTGGAACCCATTAGGACAGGTAGGGTTTAGACAAAAGGGAGGTTATCAGGGCAAAAGGGAGGTTATCAGGGCAAAAGGGAGGTTGTCAGGGCAAAAGGGAGGTTATCAGGGCAAAAGGGAGGTAATCAGGGCAAATAGGAGGTTATCAGGGCAAAAGGGAGGTTATCAGGGAAAAAGGGAGGATATCAGGGCAAATCTGGGATTCAAACTCGTGACCAGCAGATCTTGGCATTGTTGATGAACACAACCAAATTTAAGTAGCCCCTGTGCCCTTAAAATATAACTTTAAGAATTGAGAATGTCTATTTGATTGTTTCAACAGTAACCAAAGAAGCTTGAAATTAAGTTTACAAACAAAACGGCTGCAACCTGTTTGATGAGGTGGAACTGTCCCCATCTCGACCATCACCCCGATGCCGTGCAGCAGTCCAGCCAATCACAGATGGCCGTGTGTCAGAAGAGTTCCCTGATTGGTTGGAGGAAGAGCTGGCAACATTGGAGAACGAAGAGGACGAAGAAGAGCTGAAATCTAGAACACAGAACCAGGTCTAAAACTAATAATCATTATTTTGTGTGTGCAAAAAATGGTTAGTAACATAGGTTTGTATGATACAAACTTATCTAAAATCAACATAACTGAAATAAGATCTTTCACACTGCATGAAGAGGTCACGATGGGTGAACCCTCTAATCAGCCAATCAGCGTGGGGGTTGAAATTCTAGGTACATGTGCAACAAGCATTCACACCTGTATATCAAATTTTTGAATCTCAAAAACAAACTTAAATGTCCAATTCTGAATGTCAATAAAAAAGGCAGCCTACTGCAGTCGTTTCTGAGTGCCATAACATCTTCAACCAAAAAGGGAGTATCATAAAACAATTATTCTTGTTCTGTGTGGATTTTCTTTTATCAAAATCAGAAGTTTCAAATCGACATGGTAAAGAAACGCCCCACGTTACAACAGAGACCAGGAATCATACTACTGGAGAACGGTGGGCGTACCCTGTTTTGGTGTGTAGAGAACTGGGTCCTGGTAATACCGGAGTCGTGTGTGGAGGCTTCGGCTAACATCCGTCAGAGTTTGTGTGGCTCGCATCAACAAGGCCGTGTTGTCCTCGGACTTGACACCCAGCAGTGACCACAGACTCTGAGTGGTCAGACAGACAAGAGTTACCTCCCTTCGATATCAGGACAACGCTTATTGTGATACTCAAACACTTGATTTTTTTGTTGTTTAACGCCGCACTCAGCAATATTCAAGCTATATGGCGGCGGTCTGTAAATAATCGAGTCTGGACCAGACAATCCAGTGATTAATATCATGAGCATCGATCCACGCAATTGGGATCGATAACATCCATGACACGAATCGAGCATGCAACCTCACATATCATGTTTAGTATTGTAACCCACTGTTTTCCAACTGAGCAATCACGGCTGGTGATGAAAGGGTGTTCAATCTTACATGTCATGACTTCAGTTGTGCGCATGCTGCACATGGTCTTTCTCTCACCCACTGTCAATGAATTTGTTTTATATCAAGAATATTGTATTGTTTTAGGATATGGTTTCCAGATGTTTTCTCATTCTTTCTGGCATTTTTTGCCTTCAGACAGTTCACAAGTAAGTTAAAAACTTGTTTTACATTTTCAACCGAAACCTTGCCATCATGTTTTTACTAAAGCTTCAAGGTGTGCTGATGTTGAAACATTTAATGATTTGCTAAAGCAGCTGGTACATCTATTCTAAACCCAGCACAGTGACAAACATATGGCCACAAATTGCAAATATGTTCTGTCCAAACACTGCCAAACATGTAGATTGAGAGTAGATTGAGAGTAGATTGAGAGTAGATTGCCTGAGGACAAGTAATCATTTGTTTAATTTTCCATACCCCTGTGTCAACTTCTCAGGATTTCATTACTTCACAAGTACGTATACCTGTAAATAGATACGACTGCTTTATTTCTAACCGACGAGTCTGATGACAGCCTGGTTCCGGTGAGAGGAAACCACCATTGAGCTCCCAGTTTACATCACACAAACAGGAATGTTTCTCACATGACATAATGCTCCACGCTTAACAAAAAGTCGGGAAATGGTCACAGGGTTTTACGCCACGTACACACTAATGTTGAGTTTGAAAGCAGAAAAAGAATGTTCTGCATCCCGAGGACGCACAATAATATTCATTGTACCAACAGCGCATCAAGATCAATTATGGGTGTCTTACTTCATCCATCAATCTCGACCACTGTCCACATCATCAGTGATTCATTCCAGGCTCTAAAGTAATGATCTAAACGTACAATACACTACACTATTTCATTACTTTACAGGACCCTCATATCACCTGCAAGGACCCTTAAAATTATCATTGGGGGTCCCCTGGACCCAACTTTTGTAAGTCATGGTAAAGTGAGTGAGTGAGTTGGGTTTAACGCCACTTTTAACAGTATTCCAGTTATATCGCGGCGTGTCAGCTTAATGTGGGAGGAAAGCCCGAAGCGATGCAGGTCTCAGACGTTTACCACTTCGGTGAAACCCACAAGCACGGGTATGGTGCTGACAAACCTAGAATAATCGGGGCGAACCGGGATTTGAACCCATAATCATAGGTTTCTGGCGTGCCCAAGGGACACAACTCTGCACAGCGAATCGCGGCTCCTTAGACGACTGGGCCACCCGTGCCCCCAAGTCAAGGTAAAGCCCTGTGTTCGAGGTTCACAAACAGTATACACAAACGTTAAATATGGACAGTGTTATCTGCCTGACTACCTACCTTGACAGAGGCGACTAACAGGATCGGGTGGTCAGGCTTGCTGACTTGGTTGATGCATGCCATCGTATCCCAATTGTATGGATCAATGGTCATGATGTTAATCATGTGATTGTCTGGTCCAGACTCGATTAGTTACAGGCCGCTGTCATAAAGCTGGAATGTTGCTGAGTGCGGCAATAAACAACAAACAAACAAACAAACCTACCTTGACAATCTGTGGCCTTTGCAGGAAGATCTCTGCAGGAAAGTCTTGCAGCACGACATCACTGAGAAACTCACACGCTGACATCAACATGGAGACGTCCTTACTCTGCAGAGAGCTGACACAACATACAGTATCAGTTATTTTCTAGCCAAATACCAAAAGGGGCGTTAGTATGTGCCTGTTGGTTAATAATAACCTCATCAAAGAATTCATTTCTACAGAATAAACATGAACCAACTCAAAGACTACCAGTGCCTGAAAAAACATCTGTGGCACTCATGATATGGAAGTAAAAATTGCTGTACAGGGCTTTGGGTGAACGCTCTGTCATGAAATTTGTCAGGTACATCAACATGCTAAAAATATTCTCAGCAGAAAGATCTCTCAAAATTGTGCGCACAGGAAATATTCTTCTTACACAATACAATTAGGCAAGAAATGCAAATGTGATGTTGATCCTTTAATAGCGAATACTATCCATCAGCTATGTCTCAGCTAGTCATCCGTTGTCAGACTGGAGCAGTCTCCATCTTATTAAAATAACACAAATAGTGTCTCAAATAAATGTACAAGAATTAACAAACAAAATCAAACAAAATAAATAATTTAAAACAATGTTCCCAAAAAGTGATAACGTGGAGGTTGTTATGCCTTCTAAAGACATCAGGAAGAAACAAGTATACCTTGGACGTCCTGACAGAAGAACTGCTTCCAACTCACCTGTTGGTTGACTGAAGAACATGCCGGTCAGTTGGAGTCAGGGGTAACCATGGAAACACTGTAACTCGAAGTCCAGCTGATCCCCCTGGAATCAAGAAACAAATACAATCTAAACCCTAATGTTCCCATTTATTAACCATACCAACAAAGAATCATCTTCCCGAGGCAAGGGAGTAAGCTGACTGAAAAGTCCAGTTCCTACCCTAGCCTGATCTGTGTTTCACCTGATCTGTTACACCTGATCTGTTACACCTGATCTGTTACACACCTGATCTGTTACACACCTGATCTGTTACACCCGATCTGTGTTACACCTGATGTGTTACACCTGATATGTGTTACACCTGATGTGTGTTACACCTGATATGTGTTACACCTGATATGTGTTACACCTGATATGTTACACCTGATGTTACACCTGATATGTGTTACACCTGATGTTACACCTGATATGTTACACCTGATGTGTGTTACACCTGATGTTACACCTGATGTGTGTTACACCTGATCTGTTACACCCGATCTGTGTTACACCTGATGTGTTACACCTGATATGTGTTACACCTGATATGTGTTACACCTGATATGTTACACCTGATGTGTGTTACACCTGATATGTTACACCTGATGTGTGTTACACCTGATGTGTGTTACACCTGATGTGTGTTACACCTGATATGTTACACCTGATGTGTGTTACACCTGATATGTTACACCTGATGTGTGTTACACCTGATGTGTGTTACACCTGATCTGTTACATGGATCTGTGTAACACCTATACAAATACTTGATTATTAACCGGCTGCATGTCATAGCTTTAATATTGCTTACAGCTGCATTAAATAACATTCCCTCACTCACTCAGTATGTGAGCTCCTACAACTGACAGGCTGAACTGGACACCATGTCTTACTAAGGATCCCTATGAAGACAACACAGATATATATATATACAGGCAGGTATGCATTGATCAACATCATCCACTAACCAGGTTCATATTTGGCTAGCGGTGGATCCATTTCCTCCTCCGGTAAACTTCTAAAATAACTAGTTGCAGGATCACCATAGCAACCAAGCCTCTCTGCATTTGGCAGGGATGTTGTCATGGAAACCTGACCAAATGATCTAGGAGTTGCTGACATTTGATTGGTCCGTGTGCTCTCATCAATGGTGGTTATGGTCTGGCTCAACCCTTCAAAGAAACATAGGACAGAATGAACTGAATGAACTGATGAGATTTTGCAAATTTTCAGACACATTTTGTCTTCCCACAGAGGAGACTTTATTTGATATTCAGTATTTGTGACTCAAATTATGTTGCAATTAATGTTACTAGATTATATAGATAGATTCCCCAATATTTTCGAACGTTAATCATTCAACTGTGAATATTTAAAATATTGGTTGATAAATTATGGTTAATGACTTGTTGTAGATCACCGAATACGATTTGATAATCAGGTATGTTGTGCAAAGCTCCACACAGTGATATAGGTATCAGTTATGCACAGTAAGAGATGGCTTTCAGTGACGCGAGTATGCTGTTTCGAATGACAACTTTTGAAGATTGAAGAAATAGAGGTTATCACGCAAGTGTGTTTGGGGATGGTAAATATCCTGCATTAGGAATAAACGTATTTAGCGAGCCTTGGCGAGCTAAATACATAGTGTTAATTCCTAATACAGGATATTTACCATCCCCAAACACACAAGCGTGATAACCTCTTTATCATATAATGTCATTCTTTAATTCTGCGCTTCAAAATCGCTTTCCCTCTCACAAACATTACCGAAACATTGCGAGTTTTCCTGGAATGCGCGCATTAATATTTATTACGTCACAGGGTAAGTGATGTGTCAGTCGGACAGTGACAGTAGCCAATATAGTTCCAACTGAAATCTGTTTCTTATACAGTGGCGAAGCAACATATTTGCAAAACAACAATTGTTTTTAATTGCCTTTCGCGGCAATCCATCGGTCTGTCCGCTAGAGTAACTGCCCTTTGCCAAAGGGAAACTACTCTAACCCTAGTCTATGAGACGTCACGGCCATGGTCAGACGTTGTTGACAGTCGGTATGTCCTGTCATAACGTTAAGAAGTGTAGTCAGATGTACACAGAGCGACAAAACGAAACAAGGTAACAATTCAAACATATTTCGGCCAAATCCAACTATTTCAATTTGTGGAGAAGGTTTCAAGCCGCAGAGGTCTACTAGTCATGGCTACTGATCCCGCTTGGCTAGGCCTCGTGCCCTCGCAAAATTGTTTCGAAATTTATATCTCCAAAGTTGCCAAAACTTATAAAATGCCTTAGCTACGTCACAGTTAGACACTGATTTTCAGTATATTAGACTGTTCTTTTGATAATGATAGCAATTATCTCTGTAGTTTATCCAAATTCCCGATGGTTAATTCTAACTCGATTGCCGAATGACGAGGGCGACGCCATGTATGTTTATAAACAGTGAAAGTAGTCCCTACTTGACCTTTGATATTTGCATCTCTATCCGCATATGACCCCAACTGATATCGTTTTTATCCGTTGGCTTTATCCTGCCGAGAAACCTACCCATTATATGATAAAGTTTTTTATTGACATTTTTAGGTACAGTAGATTAGGGTTCACTCAGGGAATTTTCTGACGTAGACCCTTCATGTGAAAATTTCAAATATTCCCGAGCTACACCCATACAGCACAATGTTAAAATGCCTCATTGTGTTTGAAAATGTGGGCCTAGAATTATCCCTGGTAGATAATTTTATTCAAGCAGTACGACTTTTTCAAATTTGTAGGTGAAAATGAGAGTGTCAATGTGGATAAAACTTTCAATCGCGCTGAATTAATGTTGATGCGATATCTATGACAACTATGCGAAAATATCGCAGAATCGCAGCCTAAGTCAATCCCTGCAGTCTATATGTTTCTGCCTCAAGATCTGCCTGAAAAAATGGTCTACATGCAATAAAAACGAAAAGGAAAAAACAAAATGTTTCTGACTGAAAATGAATATTGTACAAAACCTAGGCATTGTTTTCTAGCGTAGTTTGTTCACAGGACTGACGAGGAAAGTGGAGGATTATTAATGTCAATGTACATCCACAAATTAGTTATAAATTATTTACTCAACTAAACTAAACTATACTAAACAAAATGGTTAGGGATCATGAATATTTGGGGGGATATTTTTTGTTGTTGTGAAGATTGAGCACACAATTTCATAAAAATATCTAAAAAAATATACATGATTCCTAACTGTTTTGTTCAGTACATATGGACCACCAACTCTTCGATGGCTATGGTTCATGAACAGCCTAAATATTATATATATGCTACAAAAAGTTTAAATCAAAATTTTATTTTTGACATAGTCCACAACATTAACATACCAAGATCTACAGTTCATGCAAAAAAAATTAAACCAAATAATCAAAACAAGTCCTGTCTTACATGTTTAAAAAAGCATACATGTTCACATAGAATATACTACAAAGTGTTTCCCATTTACAAATTCCAATACACAAATCATGACCATTTCAACATTCAGAACAACTTTTATCATACTGATGGTGAAATTATTTCACGGCAAAGAGAATCATCTGATGGTGTCAAGAAATCTCGCACTCACCGTAGTTGTTATTGCTTTAAGTGTCCAAGAGGTCGCCTTCTGCCTCAGCAGTTTCGACTGACCTGTCCCTCTTTGGGGCTCATGTGTGAGAGTAGGGTACTCATATCTATTGAGAATTTTGATATTCCCAAAAATTATGTTTTTGTATCGATACGATTTCTATTTTCGGATATTGATATAATTTCAATTTTATCTTTGGCTGCTCTGTTTATATACGTCCCAGTAGTTGTCCATCTTTCAGAAATAGAGATAGTTTGGTCTTCACTATTGCATGTCATGGATTGAGGAGACGTATGACAGATCGCGGATCTAACTGCACTTTTTGTTTAAACCAAGCCCTGTGTGGGGCATGGTCATGACATTCCAGTAACAAGTGAGCAATGGATTCAGGTTGATTGCAAGATGGACAAACCTTGTCATAGTGTTTTTGTGACCAAGTCTGAGACGTGAGATGGCTATTTTAAATTTCCTTTCATTTGAGTTTGTGTATGGCTTTGGGGTGATCTTGTGTTGAATTTTGTATAACCATCTGCCGATCATACTCGTGCCTCTCTGGGCTTGCCATTTTTGGGCTGTAGAGGCTTTGATTTTGATTTTTTTATCTCTGGTTTAATAAAGGGAATAGGCTGTATCTCCGCTCTGCACTTACCAGTGTCAGCAGGCTTGTTATAGATGCACTCAGGAGCGTGAGCGCTGGCCTTGACCTCTGGGAGGCGCATGGTGTGCTCCAGAATCTGATCAATGACAGGTCGTAGACCGGGACTGGCATTTTCCCGGAACTGTGTGAGGAAGTCAACGCCCCCAATGTCCTGGAGGATCTCGGCAGCAGCTGAGTGCTGGCCAACAACACACAAGGATTTATCTAAGATTCTCAACTGTGCCTGAGGCTGACATTGTGGAAAAAAGTATTAAACTGTTCAAAATTTGGATGCTTTTTATGATTTTACTTTTAAAACATGGTAACCATTGCTTGTCTTGAGGGGCAAATAAATTGGAAACAGTGGGGATTCCAGGTTGGAATTAGTCCCTATCAACCAATGCTGGTCGAAAGTGATGACTTTATAGATTGGATGGTCAATTTGGTGACTCGACTGATGGCATGTCAACATGCATCGTGGTTAGGAAGTTGCTTATAATATCCATCACTGGACTTGATTATTTACAAGCCAACATCATACAGCTGGAATATTGCTGAGTGCAGTATCAAACAACAAACACATGTCGATATGGTTTATAAGCAATAATATGCATCACATTGTCTACAGAAATATCAAACTGAAAGAGAAAATTAATTGTTATCTGTAAATTTACCTGTGACAGCCTGCTGAGCAGCACAAGGACATCAGCTGCCTTTGGGCAGGAAGAGAAGTTGAACCATTCAAGCAGTCGGATAAACAGATGCCGCTCATTGATGAGATCTGCATCGCATATCAACTTATGCTCCAATTTTGATGAGATATTCTCCAGCGCTCTCACACGGATCTCTTCAAGATTGTGACCTTTACGTATCGAACAGAGAGAGATGATGTAGCTATAATATCAAGATAATACTCATCATATTCATGACTTTAAAAAGATAATGAGGTAAGCATAGCAAACAGCAATTTATCAGAGTAGCACTACCAAATTTTCAAGTAACCATGGTAATTACATAATGATACACATGAGGACATGCAAGGCGAGACCTTTCTTATAAACGCTTCCTGGATCCCTCAGTCCAAAATAATTGTAAAGTGGCAACAAATATCTGAACAGCATCTATACTTACTTAATTCTGACTTTCTATTACTATACTATTTTTAACTTCAAGACTGACAAGATAAGACTGACCGACTCGGCTAACATGCCAGCATATTCAGACAACTTCAGATGAAACAAAGAGTTGGTTTGGTTGGTTGGTTAATTTGTTGTTTAACGCCGCACTCAGCAATATTCCAGCTATATGACGGCGGTCTGTAAATAATCCAGTCTGGGCCAGACAATCCAGTGATTAATGTCATGAGCATCGATCCACGCACTTGGGATCGATGCTCATGGATCAACCAAGTCAGCGAGCCTGACCACCTGATCCCGTTAGTCGCCTTTTACGACAAACATAGTCGCCTTTTACGGCAAGCATGAGTTGCTGAAGACCTATTCTACCCCGGAATCTTCACAGGTCGAAACAAATAGGAAAGTTTATGACTGAAATCATTATATTGATGCAGCTACATGATACATAAATTAGAACAGAGCCAAAGAATAACAAAACACAATTCGCTGATAATGTATCAATATACATCATTCTAATATGCTACTTAGTTTCCATGTTTACCATAATCACCAACTCTACAAAGATTATTCATTGTCTCATGAATAACAAAATTATTTCATATCTTAGAAATACATTTGATGAGAAACCAACATACCAAAGGTACAGAAGATCTCCTTTATTCATTGAGGTGAAACTTAAGGTGAGTGAGTGAGTTTGGTTTTACGCCGCTTTTAGCAATATTCCAGCAATATCATGGTGGGGGACACCAGAAATGGGCTTCACACATTGTACCCATGTCGGGAATGGAACCCGGAGCTTCGGCGTGACGAGCGAATGCTTTAACCACTAGGCTACCCGACCACCCCTGAAACTTAAGGGTTAAGGATGTGCTAAACTAGCCTTTTGGGGTTTAAACCATAACAGCTATCGCTCTTGCTCTTCCTCTGCCATGGTCATCCAATGGTAAATAACTCAAGGCCATTTCATGCCCCAAGCCTATGATTCAAATCGTGGATGGGGTAGCAATTAAGATATGTACTGCATTCTGTTTGCAAAATTATGGTATAGTTAAAAGCTATGAAACATGAGGAGTATCGAGTGAGTGAGTGAGTTTGGTTTTACGCCGCTTTTAGCAATATTCCAGCAATATCACGGCGGGGGACACCAGAAATGGGCTTCACACATTGTACCCATGTTGGGAATCGAACCCGGGTCTTCAGCGTGACGGGCGAACGCTTTAACCAGAAGGCTACCCGACCGCCCCTGAGGAGTATTGGAAGGTTGGGGTTTTAGAATCAAAAAGTATTTGTTATTCAACAGATAATTTCTTTAGCCAGCATCTGACTTAGCTGATGACTATTAAGTCTGAACTGTCACCCAAAGGTATGATAACTGGTGATAATGTGACCTCATAGTTATAGGCAGGATGGAACATTTTTCTCTGAAAACATGTGCAGTAATAACTGATGTAGTCCAGGAATCCAAAATTGTGAAAATATTTTCCTCCCAAATTCTATAAGTCAGGGGTACCTTCTGCTTTGTATACTGTATGCCTAATCACTCCTTTATCAAAATTGTCATTACATCCCAATTTTGCGTTTGAGACAACCCCTACCTTCTTCGTTATATTTACCAAGATTAATTGTTTTGATCTGTTTGTTTCCCTGAATTCCATGCTGAAGGGATATGATGTAAAACATTTTTGCGGAAGACAAACACGTTTTTATTGCAATTGTAGGGATTGTGTATGGGCTGGTCATGTGGTTCATTCTGATTTGCTTTATAGATGGGGTATATAAAGTAGAATTGATTTGAAGGCTTATACAGGGGAGGGGGGGGGGGGGGGGGGTGGCGCCTTATAGATGGCAATATACAGTATCACACCATAAACTTGTTAAACTCGTGCTTGACAACGGTATAAGGATCTATACCGAAAAGTCGCCTTTACAGTATTAACAAAGTTGTTATCCATAAATTGTGTCTAATTTGTCATCCGTCAACTTCTAAGTAATGCCTATCATAGGCTTGTTGGTATGAAAGCCCAAAAGTTTGGGCAGTTCCTTACTACACTCTATCTAAACTAATAAATGGTTTAACTTGATCTCTCTCAAGTGTAAAGAAGTTGTATACATTTCCTTCTACAGAATCCATGTCATGTACCATGGCTACAGCTATGTATGCATAATGCAACATGTATCTTGGGAGCAGTGTTGACAAAACAAATGCAGCAGCATTTTGTAATTTCTAAGATGCACATCTAGAATGACCTTCAGTGGACTTTCTATTTGTGGATTAGATTAGGGCTGGGACGGGTCCAAATTTACTACCCGGGTACCCACCCCGCTATTACCCGACCCTACCCGGGTACCCACTCTAGGCCTCATGAGATGTCTCAAAATGTCTGATTGGGAACATTTTTAGCATAGCCCTGGCAACACATATTTAGATACATTTATTAAACAATTTGGTCATTTAGCTGAAGCTGATTTAAGTTATATCTTTATTCAACCATATGAAAAATCAGAAGGAATGGGTGCATAGTCAGAAAGACTAATGAGAACATTAGTGGCTTGCCGTGTAACCATAGAGTTCAAGATACTTTTTGTCATTAAACAATATATCACGTGACAAACCACGGGTCTGGGTAGTCCTGTGGGTACCCGGGTCCTCCTCAGTACCCACCCGACCCGGGTACCCGAGTTACCCGTCCCAGCCCTAGATTAGATGTCTTTCATTATTATTATTATAAAGGAGTCGCATGCAATGCACATATTTCTCCTCATTGGACTAAGAATACATCTGTCCCTGCTGTTTTCATTCGAATTATTCTCCTGTAAAATTGTCGTTAGGACACCTTGTGACTAAAATGCTTCAACCACAGGTAGGTAGGTCAGTAGTTACTTGATATAGCAACAGTCTGTGAAACATTCTATCTCATTTTATAAATGCAATTTTTGAAAAATGTTAATATCATTACAATCATAGGTTTTGATTTCTAGATCATAATTATGAATGAAAGTTGTTTTTTAACTCAGCAAATATCTGTCGGCAGACTTTTGTAATCATGGTAAAGGGACTGCAATATTCTCGCGGTTGTCCACTGCTTGTTTGTCATGTGACTTTACCAATATGTGACTTTCTAGATTTTTGCATAAAACAACCTTTTCGGATTTTTCAAGTCCCTCCTTACACATCGTTTTTGTGCCTATTCCTGAATGATTGTTTTTTTATGTTTGCGCTCAGTACTGTGTGCAATCACACCTCCCCGTACAACCACATTAGTATACACACTTACTAATCAACAAACCGGTGACGCAACCCGATTACAGACAGTAACGTAAACACTGATGTAATTATTGATTATGCGCCATTACATTCTACGAGTAACCAGATCGGTCTGACAGCAACAGTCAATAAATTGCACCCATACCAAGTTTTCGAAAGAGTCCATGGAAGTCAATGTCCTGTCTCAAAGTAGCCATTATTTCTCACAGAAATCATCGGCGATCAACGCGTGATCGTGTACAAACATCACCGATCCGTGTCTAAACATGTTTTGAAAGATCCGCCATTATCAAAACATTGATTTTCGTATACTCCGCAGGGAGAGTTTTCGAAGGGAAGTAACTCTGTATTTCTGTATTTCCAGAGACATTTTACGTCTGACTCGAAAGTCCGCAGACAAAACATAAGGAAACATACTTTCTAATATATTTATATGTCCAGAAAGCACAAAAGTGAGTGCGAATTAATCAAAGCGTTTCCGCTTTCTTTGAAAGAAAACAATGTGCTCAAAATTAAGCCTTTTTCCCTCTAGATCTATATTGTCAGCATAGTTTCTATCAGAAGTGTTTGGTCCATATTTGGTCCGACTTGGGCAGGGCTCTCAAAATCAACTTTAAACACACGCCCGTCGAGTTTCAAGACCTTATCAAAAAAATTTCGATTTCGGCTTACGTACGCATTCTGGCAAGTCATGGCTTGACAGAACGGAGCCCCTAAGGCCTGGAGAAAATCGGGAAAAATCCAAAGTTGATCCGCCAACGTGGTCGGAGGGCCCAGGCCGACCCGCCTGTCGAGTTTCAAGACCTTATCACATTTTCTTCGATTTCGGTTACGTAAGCATTCCCTGCATCTTCAATGACTTTCCCCTTATTGTTTGTACTTGCACTTCACATAGAGGGTTATAGCTCATTTAAATAGCACATGATGATGCAGGGCTCAAGAAGCTGACTATATAGATTCAGAAGATCAAACTGTCGCGAGATATACAGAGAGCACAAAGTAAATGCAAGGTGCAATGTAAGGTGGATACCAACGGCTTGAAGATTAGTATTTAAATGAACAGCACTATGAATGATGGCCACACTGACTAAACTAGTAGAGCCTCCCAGAAGAGAGTGAGTTAGTATGGTTTTACGCCGCTTTTAGCAATAGTCCAGCAAAATCACGGCGGGGACACCACACATTGTACCCATGTCGGGAATCGAACCTGGGTCTTCGGCGTAACGCAGGCTTGAACTACTAGGCTACCCGACCACCCCTCTTCCGGGAGAGAACATGAATGCAGACAGTTGTACTGCTATAGTTCAAATGTGTCTGTGTGTTAAAGATACCGCTGGAGGCTTATAATCTTGCATTATTAAGTGAAAAAATTGTCCTAAGACATCTGCAATTCCACTCAATTAAATGTGTGTTTCTCATTAAGTCGGAGAAAAAGGGGATCGACTCCTGTCTTTCTTTTTGGGAGAGTGGCCACTTGTACGACCACTTGTGTTCGTGTGAGGGGATACTTTCTGACAATTTAAATAACAAATAGGTCGTGGGATGTACAGGTCCACAAGCATAGAGAAATAACTAACTTTAATGGAACATGGTAGAGCAGTTGTGTTGAAAGTCAACAAGTATGTGTTTGAGGGAAACCATCTTTGCAATATATGAAACGTTGGCTTGAATGACACCTTGACTCCGAAGTTCTTACACAGTTTGTTCTGCGGCTTCTTCACATAACCAACGATCATGGTCTTCGATTATGCCTTTGCTGAAATTAAGGGTTTTGTGTGCAGAACAACCAATTCAGTTGATGTCATTAAATTAAAGGCTTGTGATTTCCTAGTACATTTAATCACAAGAGCGCCAGATATATATTGCATGATTGATTATACGTCTATATAAATACGTCTCTGCATAATTTATAACGGGCTTGTTTATAAGTTTGTTTATTTGTTGTTTAACGCCGCACTCAGCAATATTCCAGCTATATGACGGCGGTCTGTAAATAACCGAGTCTGGACCAGAAAATCCAGTGACTGACATCACGAGCATCGGTCAACGCAATTGGGATCGATGACACAAAATATGTTGAGCCCACTAGTTCATATGGGATTCAAGCCCACTGCCCTGTGAACAAGGTGACCGGAAAGATGGTAGCTCGGCATCAACGAAAGACATCTGGTACTTATTTATTATTGAATAAAACGGATACACTATTGTCTTCCATTTGGCCAAGAACTTTCCCTTAAGCTTCAGATATCACGGCGAACTGATATCTTTCAATAATTGCCAAACAGTCATTTCCCTTCCACTGATTCGCCCACATGAACTAGAAATAAAAGAGACCAGTGAAGCGTCTCATCTGTTTGGTATTGAACTGTAATAGTAGGATCTCAATACTGTTGAAAGGCTAAGACACACATGTTATGAAAATCTTTGATTCTGCTTGTGAGCAGGTTATACTGGTTTGCTGATACGGACACGTGGGAATGAAGCCTTGGAAATGCATAAATAGGGAGCTCTGGACCGAGACTGTTCGCTCATCGTGAACCTGCTAGATCGCACGGAGCTCTGGAGGGAGACAGAGGCCTAATACTCTATACCAGGTACGTATGCGTGTTTGTGTCAGCACCTTAAAACTATTCATGGTGACATGGCCATCTACGAATGCAGTACCGACGTTTATTATACGAACTTTCTGGGCAAAGGTGTCGTTTGTTGCCGTAAGGCTACAAACACTTAGTTATTTGTGTAAATTGTGTGAGTGGCACATATAAGTTCTCAAATAATTCATCATATATATCTGGCTGGTCCCTGACTTCATTTAAAATATTTCTCGCGGTCTAATTGAATGATGCTTAAAAAACTAGACTGAATAAAATATAAAAAAAACAACAACTTGTTCACCCATATGCTGGATATCATAACAATAAAATGTTTGCATACAGATACAAGTAAACAGTGTTTATTCCGTGTGTGTGCCTACATCTTGCTAAGGTCGATTAACGTTCTATATTCGAAGGGGGGTGAAGTTTTGTAAAATTATTGTCACCCGGAGAAATCGTAAGTCCATGTCTGCCTACTACTATTTTTAACGTAGACTATGTGTAATTTTAATTGTGGCTGCGTACAATCGCCAGCTACTGGAGCGATGGTAAAAATCTCGCTGGGGTCCATGCAGGTAGCAAAGGTACTGTAAGTCCCCATCGTCCCTAGTATGGTGATCTACCTTCAGTTGCTGGCGATCTATAGCCCTTTTATATTTTGTATTGTTAGATATAGTGATATCTTTTTATGGTTGTACTGCTGGCTTTAAATATTAATCTGTGATATCGTAGTTATTTTTCTGTCCATTTTAGTCTAAATATATGTATGATTAATGTGACGTAAAATATTAACTCACTCACTAACGGGATACAAATTAAATATTAACTTTTACAGTACATCTTTGCAGTGATATCCCCGAACGGTCTTGATTCGTCGCTTGGCCCACGGACATATACAATAAGAGAAGGCTGCTTATCCTTTCTATATACGTCTTTGCTTGGCCTAAACTCGATAAGCTCAATTGTTCGTTTGCATGAATCTGAAAATGTTTGGAATTATGGTGCTGTTGACAAAGTTATAAATAAGGACAAAGCTGAAATTGATTGTAATGTAGAGGTTCATATGAAAAATGAAGATATTCATAACAACTGTGTTAAAAACAATTGGTACTGATGTTATCAATATTGACAATGAACATGTTTTTCCTGGTGATAAAGTAGTTACAAATTTAGACAGCGATGCTTGTAATGATCATGTTTATTCTGACAATATTGTTGAAACTGTAGCTGATAATACAAACAACATAAATGTTCGTGATAAAACTATTAGTGATGTAACTGTTAATACAAAGAGGATGGTGTTTGGTGATAACTCAGAGAATGTTCTAAATGATGACAATGTTCCCCAAAATGTTTCTGACGATATTGTATCATATCATATTACAATAATAATAGACATGACGATGACGATGGTGATGATGATGATGATGATGATGATGGTGGTGGTGATGATCACGATGGCTACCATGCATCTCCCACTCTTACATGGCTGTCTTTGAATGTTTGTGGGCTTAGGAAAAAACTGAGAAATGTGATGTTGTTGGCCTACAAGAAACAAAAACAGATTCCCTTGATAAATTCGACATAAATAATTTTACAATGTACCTGAAGCACAGACCTAAACCAGCGAGGAAATCAGGTGGCATTGGTATTGCTGTAAGAAATAAATATAGAGATTTCATTTCCATTATTGAAGATACTAACGTGTACATTGTATGGATTAAAATTTGCAGGTCATTTCTAAATATTGATCAAGACATGTACTTTGTGTGTGTACATACCACCTGAAGGTTCTAAACATGTGCATGGTGATGTATTTAATGAATTAGAAAATTCTATGTTGAACTACCTCTCAGTTAGTGATTATGTTACTGTGTTTGGTCATTTTAATGCACGAACAAGGAACATGTGTGATTTTTGTACATTTGATCAACATATTATTGATGAACTAGATATGGATTTGAGTGAACTTATAAATGAATTTAAACCTGAATTAGTATTAGATGAACAAGGCTTACCTCATGACAGAAGTACACAAGACATGGGTAGAATGAATAACTTTGGTGTTAAACTCATTGAAACATGCAAGAGCTTTAACCTATTTATATGGTCGTCTGGAAAAAAACACACACAATATTTGAACTGTATTGCCGTAAATAATCTAGCCTGCTGCCTAGGTAACTTAAACATGTATGTTTGATCTTCATATGCCAGGGTATATGGCCAGAAAAGCAAATAAAGTTGTGTCTTATGACCTCTACTATCCCTGCTGACGCCATCATAATGTTCTATTTCAGTCTGCCACACCAAGCCTGAATAAGCGCTATGTATGTGTTGATAAACCACACTGACACACATACATTTTTTGTAGATATGAACCTTTCCAGTTAATTGTGGATACACTGGGCACACAATCATACATAACAAAAACCCGTGACCGATGAATTGGTGCCTTGATATGCAACAAGAAAGAATCTTGTTTATTTCCAGGCCATCCTGATCATCGTTTACTCCTACTTCATGCATGGTTAGGGGAAAGATCAAAGGCGCCGCCCAGCATTTATTAGGCAGCAAACATGGTTGTAAGTTTCGCTTTGAACCACCATCCCCACCCTGTCGGTAGGGTTTATGTAATCGGTGCGCACATAACTGTGTCCAGTCTACCGCGGGGGTTGATGCGGTGTCAGTGTCGAATGGTTTTGGGAT